AAGATACTCATAGATAATGGTACCAATTATTTATTTTTTATTTATAATTATTCAATTTTTTGATTAAATAATTGTTAATGATAGTTTAAATTGCTTTCATACGCAGGCTAAATTTATATATGAACAATTCATACTTTCTCATATTCAATGATAAATCCAGGAGTTGTAGCTTAATGATCTTCATTAAAAATTGGAAAAATATTCAATTTTTATTACAACTAACTAAATCAATATTTATTAGTTTTACATATTAAAAACAGGACTATAATCTATATTAACATTGCGATCCTTTGAATATTGACTCTTATTACTCAATATGAATTTGAAAGACATTTTATATATTATATATAATTTATTATTTTATTTCATTTAATTTTATTTCAACCACAATTCTACAACTCCTATATAAATAATTTATGAATACTCATTACGTATTTGATTAGTCTATGTGATTATACAATCCACATTTCAAATAATTTATACTTTCCTTTTCTTTATTTATTTATTTTTCAACTAAATTTTACTCAGAATGAAATTGTATATGTATTCATTTCTATTTATATATTAATTATCAAACCTTAATATTATTGTGACTATTTTAAATTAATATCTTCCAATTAAAATAAATGAATAGAAAAATGAGGTATTTAGAAAGAAAATATAAATTTAGGGTAAAAATTGAAAAAAATAGTGATTAAAGAATGAATTTATCACATCTATAAACTTCCTAATTTTCTTTTAATTTGTTAGTTATTAAGAAATATCTTTACGGCTTGGACTTCTTAATGATTTGAATTACATGGAGATAAACTTATTTTTGATTCAGAATCTAGATAGTTTCTATCTAAAATTTTAGATTTCCTCTCTTCAGATAATAATTATAGAACCTATTTCTATTCTGAGTCCAAATGATATTCATAAAACAGTTTAATCATATCCTAATCCAAATGGGTAATTATTTTTTATCCAATATTTTCAATTGTATCAGACATATCACGAATTTAACAAAATGATTTATAAGCCTCAATAAATCTTTCAAAATTATCTTTGGACTGACGCTAACCTTTACTAAAATAATTAAATTACTTGATTATGAATCTGTTTCAATTTTATTTTATATATTCGTTATTAATGGAATTGGAATAATATCAAATAAGACTCTCTAATTAGTTGTCAAAATTATCGATTTCAGATTGTCAAATTCCTAAAATTTTTTCATTATTTCAACCACATCTAAATTTTCTTGGATTTTCAGATTTGCTTAATCCAATTATTTTATTCTTGCCTTGTTGCACCCAAATAAAAATTGTATAATACTTGATATTGAACTTGACAATTTATGTTATGGTTATCTCACATATTTTTCTACATTCGATTTCATACTCACATCTCTCTTTATGCTTTAAGTTAGATCATTCTCCTCTTACTGAAATCTAAATAATTTATTTGCTAAATTGATTTTCATTTCAGTTAAAATAAATGGTTTAGAAATAATACCAAAGAAAATAAATATTAATTACCACAATCCTCCAATCTTACTTAAGATGGTCAGTAACTTAATGTATGATCTTTAATAATTGGTGTATTTATTATCAAGTATTAGACTATGTAAGATTAAATAATCTTCATTATAATCTGCAGTTGATTCTTAATAGTACTATTGAACCAAAAATGAGTCTTCTACAACATTGTTAATTAATACACCATCATCAGTCAATGATTGGATAATTCTGAATCCTTGATATATAGTTTTGGAGGTTGATATTGAAAATTATGTATACTACATTTTTATGAAGTTTTTTTGGATACTCTCAGGGTTACTCATTTAAATTAGAGAATCACTCATATGAACAACATAATAACCATTAATTAATTCTTTATTAATCTCATCCCTTGAAGCACAATCCTATTTCTCTGTACTATTCTTACATGCTGAAAACTTAATAGTGATGTAGGAGTATAAATTTCCTGAAACAATCCCTTATAGTACCTAATTTGATGATATATCATTACAGGTGGTTTACTTTACAAGATATCTTTCTTGATGCACTAAGCCGTTCCTAATCGAATTTTACTGAAATATTCTTTTTAGATATCTGTTACGAAATTATCTGACGCGCAAGCCTCTGTTGGATAATTAATACATCTAATTTATAACTTTACGCATACGTATTAACAACATCGATTTTATTAGTTGTTGTATTAAGTTACCTTGATCTTTAACAATTTTCAACCTTAATTGTAAAGTATTTATCAATTGTCTTTAATGGATTTTGTTCCATATTAGCAACTGATATTGATAATGTAAAATTATGATTTTCCAATGGAAATGGCTATATATTATAAATGTGTACAGAAGTTTCAGTTACTAAGTGTTCTGATAATATTGTTTAAGGGAGTTACTTGTACACCAATTCTTAGACTTACTACACTAAATATCCGAATGTCAATGTCGAAGCTATTATTGTCAGGAGGCTTCCAAGTATACTTGAATATTTTTGATTACCAAAAATCAATAAATTTGGATTTATCCCATATAAATCAATAGCTTGACACAATTTTCTACATTTTATTCCCTAAGTTAATGGTATATTTACTAATGGATGATTCATAAATAAATTCAATATATTAAATAACTATAAAAGGAAATCAATCCAGATTGTTTAACATATTCATATAACTCCATAATTTAACTAAAAAGCATAACACAAAGAATTTTTAACAAAAATGGTTATGTTTGAGATATAACCAAACATAACTTTTTTTGACTACTTCAATTCTTTTAGTTTAGAAGAATAAATGGATATGAATTTATGATAACATGCTAATCAGTCTAATTAATATATGAATTTCAAGGCTTCCTTAAAAGAATAAAATTATTTTGAGAATTCATAATAAACTTTTTTTTTTTATAATCAATTTTATACAATTTATCTAAAGTTGATCAGAATTCAATTTCTTTATCAAAAATTCTTATAATGTGTTCTTTAAATTTACTTAATCGAATTATTTTTTGGTTAAATATGGTTTAAACTAGAATAATTCTATGGCTGTTTTTGAGTAAATTAAAGAAATTTCAATACAAATATTTTTAATTTTACATTCTATATATTTAAACTTATAATTGTATACAATATATATATAAAGTTTAAAAGTATTTTATAATAAAGCATTCGGTGCATATTCTTATCTTGTCAGAAAATCAATTTTCCTTCTGTTCTATATACAGACCAGAATTTAATATGTGAGAATTATTAGATAGTATACTAATTAATCCAGTTATACTTCCAACGTTAGTCAAATTTCTAAATATTTATTTTATTTTTTCTTTTAGAATTTGGACTTAAGGGTGGTTTTACTATAGATTAATTTAGTTCACTGTTTATTCTCTTAATTTTTATCATAGTAGCTTTCAAATTATTTGCAAACATTGGATTTATAAATTAAAGCATTTCCTTTCTATTATAAATTGTAGATATGGCTTAATTTATTTATGTATTTTAAGAGATCTTAAAAAATCGTTTTAAAACCATTATACAATTATGATAATACTTTATTCTATTATAATGATTAATTATATGATTTTCAGAATAGACAGTTATTAATCTCTTCCAAACTAAAGATTAATACTAATAACGCCATCATTAACTTTATTATTAACATCTCTAGGTAAAGGGTTATAATCAGTTGTGTCACCGTTTATTATTTGTAAATTTATCATTTGAAATTTATTTTAATCTATTTCAAATGGATCAGCTGCTTCTATTTATTTTTAATATACATCTGTTTCTATACCTTCTGGTAATCATATGGTATTAAAAGAACCAAACTAATATATATTAAATTTATAATTAAATTAAATATATTTAAATGAAATGCTTCCAATCATCTAATGTTTGTACTTAATGAAATCTAGGTATTGTATAATCATGCCCGAATAAAACAAGCCTATTGGACCTTGCCAGATGACATCATCCAGTAAATTATCAAGATATGATGAGGATAGGAATCTTCGAATAACATAATTTAAAATTATTTCTTAGGCTTATCGATTACTTTCAAATCCTGATCATAGGTGTCGATATGACGAAATTTAAGCCTAAGAAAAAGCTAAATTAGCCTATTTTAAATAATAAAGAATTTCATCAATGGAAATTAAGTAAGAACAGAACAGAATAATGATACTAATACAAAAGAAACAAAAATTATTGAACATGAGTTTAAAATTAGTAAGTTACTTTAATCCAAAAGAAAAAAATTAGAAAACATCATTTTGATAATATTTTAATCTCTTCTATGATATTTGATTCATGATTTTCTATTTTTAACACTATCTAAATAATCAGAACCCGATGGTTATTTTAGTATTAGAACCAAATAAAACCATCATTTACATTATGCTACAATAATTATAAGCAAAATTATACACTTTCTCATAAAGAATACTTTGAATACAAATTTTCTTTTGAAGTATTTCACGATATATCATTAGAATGATTTGAAAATGGATAGTCAAGTCCTAGTATGCCTAAGGTTACAGTAATAATCAAAACCAAAGAAAATACTTTATTAATTCGCTTTGATGAGTTGTTAGCAATTCAAAGATGTTTTATTTATATAGACAATGATGTCAATTAAATTATTTGTGAATTCAATAAAATATGCAAGAAATGCATTTGTAATATAAATTAATTAAACTACTTGAAAAATGATATGAAATTAGATTGCTTTAGATAGATAATAGTTTGAAGAATAGAAATATACTATTAAAAAGATATTATAAAAGTATAATCTAATACTTACATAAAATACTGAAAATTATGAATTATCAATATAAATCGAATAAAAATGAGGATTGAGTATGATAAGATCTATATTTTAGTACAATTATTGCCTAACAATTGTTATTGATACAATTGAAAAATCAAATTTCATTTAGTTATTAATAACAGATAGAATGGGAAGATGATATTCAAAGACTAATATTAATTGTTATTCTGAATTGAGATCACTCAATTTAAGATAAAAAAAATAGCATAAATATACATAATCACTTTAATTCTGAAGACAGATTAATTGTTATATCAAAATTCTTGACTTGAAGGGATGCTAAATCAGCACAAGTGATTCAAAATAGGAGTATTACAAGCCCTTGAATTTTTAGATTATAACAAATTGCGAAACCTTTATTGTATTATTTTAATTATGATATATATATTAATGATAATGAAAAATAAAGATCATTAGCATATAAATTTAGAGAACTATTAGATGAATAATTTGGATAAGCAATCATGATTACATAAGGATATAATGTTTTTGAAATAAAGTAGATCAAGTGTGATTTACTTTAAATACTCAGAAGTCAATTGTAATGGCTTATAACGGTATATATTTTACAAAATTATTTATTGAATATAAGAATTCAATTCATTCTTTAGTAATTTTTACGGAAATTAAAATGTATCAAATTACTTTTATTATTTAAAATAATGCACTTTTAAATATTATGCTATCTTATTGGTATATTATTAAAGAGCATCAATATTTGGAGGGATTTTTGTAATTCAAGAATGAAAACAAACACCGATAATTTTAATAATTTAATTCAACTGAATTAAATTCAGTAATTTATTGATTTTTAATTATAAAATTGATTGAATTCAGTTTATAAAATGAATATTAATGGTGTTGAATAAAATATCACTATAAAGTAAACCAACAACAGATGCTATTATGAAATAAAGTAAAGTAGTATGGTAAGTGTCAAAATGATTTTAACCAAAATATATTAAAATTATAAGATCTTATAAAATTAGAAATAAGAGATTAATAGGAAGAATCCTAAATTGAGTGATTATTAATTAATTAATATTATCGATGCAAATAAAGTTATCCTTTTTTGATGATGCCAAAATCTCGAGGTCATTTTGGGAGAAAACTACCTTTTAAGTGGAAGAAGAATTGGTTGATTTTCAATCTGCCCTTTTTGAAAAAAGCAAAACAACTGGTTTTTGGATTAGCAAAAATTATATCATCTATAATAGCAAATTAATGAAGTTGAGGGTATTCATTTGATTAAAATGTAGCCAAATAAGGCATACATTTACCATGTTGATTTAAGTTTATCAAGAATAGAGAGAATTAAATATAAAAATGATTAGGAAGGTGATGCTTGCCATAAAGTAATTTAAACATCCAATTTAGAAAAAATATGGTATACGCATAATTCGAAATCAAAAATTCAAAGAACTTTATTCTATATCAAAAGAACTAAACTAATAGATTTGGGAATTTCTCAAAAAGTAATGTATTAAACGTTCCTTCAAAGAAAAGTATGTTATAGAGAAGCTTATAGGAAAAGGGAATTTCGCAAAGGTAATGAAATTTAAATACGTCAGGTGTATCTTTGTACCAAAAAGTAGGATAAATAATAATTAGCAGTTAAGGCTTTTGAAAAATGTAATATGAATAAAGACACTGATAAGCAAGCCTTGATTAAAGAAATTTAGATTATGAGGAAGCTGAATTACAAAGGATTGATAAAAATGCATGAAGTGTTTGAAGATGACGCTCATGTCTTATTAATTTAAGATTATCTATAAGGAGGGGAATTGTAAAAACAGATAGAGCAGAATCAAAAACACTCAGAATAAATAGTAGCGAGCATTTTGGCCACTTTATTGGATTCTTTAGATTATTTACACAAACAGAACATTCTACATAGAGATCTAAAACCTGAAAATATGATATTGCGGAAAAATGGAGTTTTAGAAGATGTTGTTATAGCTGATTTCGGATTGGCTGATTTTTATGATCCGTTGGGTAATTATATGTTTCAAAGATGCGGAACTCCTGGATTCGTAGCTCCAGAAATTTTGCAAGATAAACTTTATGATACTAAGGTAGACATTTTTAGTGTTGGGTGTTTGATGTTCCTTTTGATTTCTGGCAAATCTCCTTTTAAGGGTAAGACTTACAATGAAGTTGTAATGAGAAATTTTCATTGCAAGGTTGATTACTGTTCTATTGAAAATATCATAAGCAAAGTAGGTAAATAGTTCAAATATTGTTAGGATTTTCATTATTGAAACTTTTACTTCATCCTCGACCATCTCAGAGGCCTTAGCCAAGGGATGCCTTGAGACATGAATGGTATATGATAAATTTGGATAGAATTAGATATTCAGAACTAAATAAATCAGAAGAATAATATTTAGATACTAAAGGTACTATTAAATCAAGTAATACAGATGCAGGTAGTTGTGGATTTATGAAGAATTTTATTGGTCCTTCAACCTAAATTAAACCATGGTTTATGACTCCTCAGTTACATCATGTTGGATAGAAGAAGTAGGATAATTTGTTATTGACTCCACAAATTACAATGATGCAATAAATTTAAGAGTAATTTAATGATAGTGAAGAAAATATTTCAATCAAGAATTTAGATGATGATCTTACAGATGTGATATTCGATGATGACTAACCTTAATCTTACAGATTACCTTAATATCTCTTAGTTAGTAAATTGAAGTAGGCTGTTGATTCAAATAATTCTTCTTAATTTGCATCTCCTATAGTTAAAGTAACGGCTATATTATAATTAATTTTTAGAGAACTCCAGAAATTATTATGAAGGATATTAATCCTAAAGTTATGAGTATCAAAGAAAAAATATATGAATAGTAGACTTTACCTAAAATTGCAGTCGTTGTAAAGAATAATTTTAAAAATCTTGAGTAAATTTGAATTAGTGACTAAAATAATTTAAAGTTAATAAAATAAAATAGTTAAAATGTATTTGAATTCAATTTTCAAATCTCTATCTCGTTTCTCATACATCAAAAAAAACTTTAGTTATGAAAACCTCTAGGACGTGGAAATAATCACTAGAGATTATTGGGGTAGTTTGAGAAACATTCTAAAATCATTTTCAAATCACAAAATTAATTTAACAGATATTGAGCCTCTTAAATTAAGCAGAACACACAAGTATTAACTACATTTATATATACTAGGGGGTAGAATATTGTAGTAAAATTGACATTTGAAAAGGTTGAAGATAAAAAGTATAATGAATTGATATACGATTTGCAATAGAGATATGATTAAGTTCTGATAAATAATGATATGTCTGTACCTTCAGTCCCATGGTATCCAAGAACAGATGAAGATCTAAAAACAAGTAATTTGCAGTTTTAGACATTTAGTTGGTACAATTATGGAAGTCAATGAAGAAAATAATTAAGATCATCCATAATTCAAGGATATTGAATACAGAAAGAGAAGAGAAGAAATTGCAAAACTCTCATAAGCTCATCTGGTTGGAGAACCAGTCCCTTATATCAATTATACAGAGTAAGAGGAATAAACATGGAAGAAAATCTACACAATATTAAGAGAAAAGGTTAATTTAGTGATGTCTTAAAGATATTTGAATAATTTTGTGAAAATTGAAAATGCTCTTGGATTCAAATACAAAATTCCTTAATTAAGAGACATTGATGCATACTTAAGAGCCGAAACTGGATTTAGAATCAAAGCCACTCATGGAATACTTAGTTAAAGAGAATTCTTAAATGCTCTTGGACATAGAGTGTTTTGTTGCACATAATATATAAGACATCATTCAACTCCAGAGTATACACCTGAACCTGATATCGTCCATGAACTTGTTGGTCATGTACCACTGTTCGCTGATAAAGAAGTGGCAGATCTTTCATAAGAATTAGGCATCTTATCTTGTGGTGCAAAGAAATAAGATCTCAGTAGACTGGGCACTTTATATTGGTTTACTCTTGAATTTGGTGCTTATAAGGAGAATGGATTTATCAAAGGATATGGAGCAGGAATTGCAAGTTCAATTGGAGAGTGCGATGTAATTCTTAATTTCTATTAATAACTAGCATTTCCCTAAGGCAAAATATGAAAAATTCGATCCTTTTATTCATGCTGATCGTAGCTATCCTATTCAAACTGTGTAACCTACCTACATGTACACTGAAAGCTTTGATGATGCTATGCAAAGTTTGATTATTTTTGGGAAAAGTCTACAGAAACCCTTTGGTTTGTATTATGACTTCATTGACAAGGAACTTAAATCAACCAGAAGAATTAAGACTCATCTAAATGATTAATGATTATCAAAGTATATTAATAAAAATTAAAAATATTATGAATTCAGAACCATCAATAAGAACCATAAGTGTTAAATATACTGTGGTGTTTTGTGTCATCATTGGTTTCTTGTTTTTATTTTCGCAAATACTAGACAACTTATTCTATGATTATACTGTTATAGAAACTGAAATAGTCTTCATCAAAAGAGTCGGTATATGTTATAATTAATGAAAGACCAAACAAATAATAAAATGATTCTAGAATTAAATGAAGTTACTGAACAGAGCAACTCATTAGTTCTCACCCTACAAAACAATATGTAAAGTACTATTGAACAGATTTATAAAAAAATCAATTATCAAATAAATGAAGAAGAGGATTATACTTTGCAATAAATGAATAATCAATATCGATAATCATTCAACCTCATATCCGAATCAATATTTTTAAGGAATAAAATGAACAATTCTATTGATTCCATTTATCTATTAAATATTAAGAATACTATTAATACTGAGATGGCACAAGTTGGTATGAATCTTATGTTAACATTGTTAGATATTTCCATCTACTCTGATTATGGGACCAACTTTTTTGATTTATCACAAGCAATCACATTAAACAATTTTTGGAACGAAGAATTATAATTAAATTTGAAAAACAAAATAGTAACAACCTTCGTTGAAGAATCGAATTATATACTCTTTGTTCTCTATGACTATCAAAATAATGAATCAGAAATTGCTCTATTAAGGGATAATGAATTAGAAATCATACATACTACTAAGCATTTAATTAAGAATATTGCAACCAAAAATCAAAATATTATCTTTAATTATTAAAATGATAGAGAAATTCATTTCTATGATTGTAATTAATTTACTCTTATTTAAGTGTAGCCAATTCATAGAAGATAAGCAAAATTCAATCATTCCAAATAACACACGTACTCTACTTTTAAGTTATGAAATTATTTTTTCTAAATGACAGCACAATTGGTGTATTTTATTTAGAGTATATTTTTTAATTACCTTTAGAGTTACTAATGATAAATATAAAATCATTGGAATGGCTTTAAATGAATATAAAAATGTATTCTTAAACATAGACATTACAGATGAAATGATAAGTCTTGAATAAATCTAGTAAATTGAACTACTTTATGATTACAATCCAGACCACAATGTAATGATAGTATCCTTCGGTAAAAAATACCTCTACTTTTTAAAAATAAAACCTTTCATGTTTGCCAAGTAATTTGATTAATGGAATCCAAAAAAAATTAAATTGAACATTTTTGAATAAGAAAGAGAGATATTTAAGAAAATCATCTTTGACCAGCAAGATCAACTCATTTATATAGTACTATTACTCATATTAATTCCATTTAGTTATCAGAAAGTTCCTAATCCAAATTCAAAATGCATTTAGTTGATATGTAAAGTCTAGAAAATAAGTCAAACAAAACTGATACGATGAAATTAAGAATGCCATACTTTAAATATGGAGTCTAAGCTATAGATTTTCATATCTAAAAAAATTAAATCAATAATAATGTAATCCTATTCTTATTGAAAAATGGAGATGTAGCTTGCATTTAGCCATTATAGTATGGAGAAGGAGTTCTTAAGAAGACCTTTATTATCGAATTGCTAGACATTGTGTTAACATTGTCTTTTATCGGATTCTTTAGATATTTAAAAAGACTATTACAAAAAATATATTCAAAAATTATATCTTGTTGTAGAAGAATTTGATAGATAAGCTTTGTATTAAAATATATATTTTGTAAATATTCAATTTGACAACAACTTGTTCTTTGCAATTTCGATAGTTTAATTTTAATATATACCATATTAATATATATTAATTGTTGTATAAATGCTAAAAGAGAAACAGTAAGAAAAAAGAAATAGGATAGAAATTTATATGTTCATTTGAATATTGTATTCAGTAAAATCTTATTGGATAATCCAAACATATTAATAAATATTGAATAATAGAATGCTGTTGAATTATTTGAAGATTACTCCATTTAAGTTAAATCAAATGGATATAAATTTGAAAAATACAATGAATTTTATAGATCAAAAGTATATAAGGATTCAAATAGACAATAAACAACATTGACAATTGTAAATAAAATAAATCTTGGAACTGATGAAGAACCTTAAGAAACTAATTCAACTGGATATTTACCTAATTTAATTGAAGAATCTTATTTATATGAATGGGCAGGTATTGGAATTCATGAAAATTATAAAATATTAAAAGCATTAACAGTAATTCTTTATTAATTATTATTAGTTATTATCTGTTATTAAATCAGTATTTAAACTAAGATTTTTTGGGGTAAAATCATGGGTAGATAAAACGATTATCATATTGCTGAAGGATTAGCTTATAGTCCAGTTGAGATGGAGAATTACTACCTGATGTTAAACCTAGAGGATGTGGAATTAATACTAAATCTTATTGGGCACGCACAGACATCTGAAATGATAAGGATTTGGTTGAATTACCATTGATTACACTATAATAAATCAATATTTCATAACAAATTACATATATGTTTACAGGTAATCTAGAAGCTGATGTCTTAATAATCCTTATTTCTTTGGAAAGAAAAACATTTATTAAAAGCCTAAATTGTTAGAATTACTTAATCAACTGTCATTAATCCTAAATATTAATATAATTTAAGAAAAGGTGAACCAAGAAAAATAGATCCAACACCACCTGAATATACACTACCTGGATTTCATGAATTAAAAACATTAGATGATTGGATTCATTTCAATTAAAATATATTAAATGTAATTATAAATCATAAGTATAAATAGAATAACCAGATCTTCCAGGATAACCAAAATCAAAAACTTCCCTCCTGAAATCCCTCAAAAACAATAAGATTGATCACTATTATTATTAAATTATTCATTATTTGGGCACACAAAGATTATACCAATTTTAATTGATTAAAAATTTGTTGATTATTATCAAATAGAGACAAACCTCATATATTTAAAATTGAACATTGTTTAGAGATATCAATAAATTGAGATATAATTTTTAAATTCCATGATTACTCTAATTGATTAGAATTAAATTACATAAACTTAATCAATATAAAATCAGCTCTATATCATTTTTTTCTCTTATTTATATCTCATAAGTATTTTACCTATACATATTAGAATTCTTATATCTATAGAGCTGAAATAATAATAGATCATTTCAATGTCTCTAGTGATTTTAAAGATAATTTTTCAATTCATATTTATTTGAAGAATATTGTATTAATTACACATATTGTTTTATAATAAATTGTGTTCGTAAAGCTTAATTATATTAGTAATCATTATTGCAAATGAATATTTTTATATATTTTTATATATTCTTAATAAAATTATTGTTTCTTCGAATCCTCGTTAAATTTGTGTTAAAGTTTCCACTTCCAATATATCAATTTATTAATTTTTAAATCCTTATTCATTTTCTATTAATCAATATATTAGAAAAAGAGTTTAATTTTGCTAAAGATTATGTGTTTATTTTAAAATCATAAATCCCTTTTTTCCTATTTATAGTATTCCAAGTCTTAATATGTGAGTTATAGGTTGATGATTTTTTTGACAGATTTCGTATTATTCATAAATTCCTAAATTCTCAATCTTTTGCCTCTTTATTAAATTTTCAAACTTACTTTAAAATAATTCATATACTCACTTAACATTTGGCATTCCTGATCCTTGAATAAACTATTAAATTTAGCCTCCTTTTGTCATAAGTAGTTATTTATTAAGTTTATAATTATTTTTATATATGTCATTATTATTCATCATTAGCTTTTTTAATAGGTCTATCAATATACAGGAAAGGATTGTATTTATCTTTTGTCCTCAATGCCAAACAAGTTGAAACTATATCTGGCTTATTTATGATATGCTGTAGAGGTGTAACCAAATTAATTGATGAGATTTTTTTGCCCAAAATGTATAAGTCTCCATCTTGAATGAAATTCTTTTTTTAAATTGATGGTGCCTCTTCATCAACGATACTCAAACTTTCAAATTTTCTTTTTAAAATAGTTAAATCACCCATTTATATGTATATTAATATATTTATTAAATTTTAGAAAAGCTTATCAAAGTATATAGTTTTAAAAACAATTATAATTTTCCAATATTAAACACTCTCATAGTGCTGTCTCTTTTATAAACTAGATTTTATAGAATAAACTAAATTAGGTGACAAATTGTATTTATTTAATATTTGGTTAATGTGAATGGAAAACATTTTAAAGTAAATGTAATATCATAAAATGATTTTTAGATAGCATCTTATAATTCAATAGAATTAAACTTAATTTAATTGTTAAGCTAATTTAAAACTAAAGGTTATTTAAAAATAAAAATAATGAAATTTATATAATATGCTATTTAACTCATTTAAATCACAAAATTATATAAAAGATTTATCTATTAAATTCTCTAATTAATTTTCAAAATATCTAAAAAAGATGAAATAAAGAAATATATCAAATTGATACTTTTGATTGTATATATAAGAATAAATTATTTAGATTTGAAGACTTTATAGAATAATTAAGTAGTTCAAAATGATTAATTTATTAAAATATTTCAACTTGTTAGCATTCCTATTCATTTAGTTTAATATAGATTAAATTTATTAATAATCAATTTTTTTGATAAATTAATAATAGAATCGAAATGCAAATAGAATAAGAATAAAATATTGAATAAATTGAAATAATCATTCAAATATAAATAATATTTTCATTCTACTATTTCTTAATTTTAAGCATGTTAATTCATTAAATATAATGCATATTATGCTATTACTTTTTACAATTCCTCTTTAATTTCTTAAGTTTGCATTTGTTGATATGCTTCTTTCCAATAATTTAATTTTACATTAATTGTTAAGAATGAATTCCATGAATTCTCTTATGCAATTTTATTAATTGAATTATTCATTTCAGTTATACTATGTACTTTAATTTCATATTTGTCAACATTAGTTTATAAGTTGAATTTATACAGTTTATCATAAATGGGCCTCATCTATTTCTTTTATTCTACAGGTTTCTTTTAGTTTTAGGAAGAATATCTCAAATACCTTTAGGATATTTCAATCTAAGAGCAAAGTTTATTTGGGAGTGATTCACTTCTGTTTGACTTAATCTTATGTTCAAACAAGGATTTATTCCCATTGGAACCAGCCTAAGTTGAATTATTTTATTCATCTTTTTGTATTTATGATACCTATTTAGAAAGTGCTAATTATTATGATTCATCTATTTTGGCTTCTATTTGTTATTCATATTATTTTGGTGACAATTTTGATGGCTTTTTATCCAAAATCCTTTTTTTCTTCTTTTCTATAGATTGACCTCTTTCTTCAGTTGATTTTTCAATTGATTATTGTTATTGTGTTTTCTTCTTTTTTCCAGAATGCTGAACAACATCCTTCTTCTGACCCTTCATCTTATTGTTCACAGTACTTACTGGGGCTACATGATTTTATTAAGGTTTCTCTTAAGGTTAAGGTGATTATAATTATGAATCGGTTGTTCCCCAAGTCTTCCTTTTATTTTTAATCAATTTTCTGATTCCATCTCCCCAAAGAGCAGATGCCTAAAAAAACACTGAAAGAAATCTGGAAATTGATAAAATTGTTTTACCTATTTATGTTAACCAGTTATCTGACGACTGCTTCAAACAATTAAATCATATCCTTCTGTTTTCTTACAGAATCCACATATATATCTGAGACTGCCTAAGTTAGATTACTGTATTCTGAGTTCAATATTAGGAAATCATTGATGATCATTAAATCTAAAATATGGAGGAAGACTATAACTATGGTTCCAATACATTTTTACAACACAAATTTCCTATTAATTACATTCAATATTTCAGTATGAAGTAAATTAATCACCAATCCTACTAAATATAAAGTTATCGATGCCCTGATAAACTACAAATTAGTTCAAACTTACTTACTTCAGGATAGAAATTGCCAAAGTTGTGATTGTAAAGCGAAGATGAGATTTATTATGCTTATTGTAACTATTTTTGAGAAGTAAGACCATATTGTTAAAGTGAATTTTGATTTTTTGCTTTTTAATCACCTCGAAGAGATGCAAAAAGTAAAATGTTAATTCCAATCTAAAAAGTCTTTATTGTCACAACTCTGAGTTCTTCCAAACGCAGACGCAATATTAAATAGACATTCTTGATTTTAGAACTCATTAGTATTAAATAATTACGTTTTTCTAATTTAATATAACATTATTCATATTTATTCGAATACTTCACAATCAAATGAATAAACTGTCATTGCAAATTCAATTTTGATATCAGTCTTTTCACACTCTTTAGACATTTTTGAGGAATGGAACGAGCTAAAATTATTAAGATATATTCGCATTCTATATCTAATAATATAAGTTAGTTATTAGTATTTCAAGATTTTTGAAGATTCTCAATTCAAAATTTATGCATATATAATTAGTAGGATATAAATAACGAATAAAAAGATTGGTTTATATTTTGAATTTTAGTTTAGATCTCAATAAAGAAATAATGATTAACTGAATTTTAACTCAAATTTAAATTCATATTTCAAATGAATGAATTAATTTTAGTAGATGTGTCTTGTTGGCTTTAGGATTAGAAGTATTTCAGGATTTAGAAGTTTCATTTTAATGAAATGCTGAGATTTCCTGATTGTAAGTTTTTTTATTTATTAAAATTGATTATAAATACCTGGTGTTGGAAAAATGAATTTTTAATATTTTTTTTAAGATATTAGTATAGAATGAACACTCACACAATTACTTACCCAAAACCCCTAGTTCGCATATTGCAACATTCAAGAACAGATTCCTCGAGTGTTTCGTCAACCTAATCTTACGAATCTCATTTTACAGATATCGAAAGGCCTGAAAATCCTATGATAAAGAATTTCGTGGACAATCAAGAAGATGATCTTGACAGCTTCTTTGATCAACTAGAATGATAAAACCTTCTCTTATGATTTGTCTTATTTTGTGTAATACATTAACTGAATAAATATTTAATTACACTATAAGTGTATTTGATCAAATAAAATCATATAAATGTTTTAAGGATTAGATGTTCTTTGTTTTGCTTATGTAGTTTTGAATTTAAAGCTCAATAAAGGTCAATAATGTGATTTTTCTAAGGATTTAAATGTCACACTATTATTCATGTTAATTAGAGAAGCGAGAAAATAATTATAAGCATTGAGAAATGTCATCTGGATTGTTTAAGAGAAGAGAAAAATATAAAAGATATCTTTATATGAATAAATAAATTCATTATATAAATTATTTAATGGCAACTACAAGTTATTTTAGTATTAGTTTCACAGAGAATGAAAGGGGTATCATACGAAATATTCTTTAACTTCCAATCTAATAATATAGATATTTAGAAAATGAAGTAGATGCTCTGATAGAGACATGGAGAATGTGTGAAAAGCATCAGCTTCCATATCAATTTTATGATAATAAATAATTCTATTGTCCAGAATGTTTGACTTCGGTCAGGCCTATTGAATATCATTATATTCGAAGCATTAAGGATGTCCCTATCGAAGAGAATCAGATAAGTTCGATAAGACGATTGAATGATGAATTGGCACATTACTAGACAAGTGCTGTAAGTATTTTATTTATTTGTGAGATACCTGAAATTAATTTTGAAGATAGATAGAAGAAGCTAAAAAGTAAATATAGATCATAGAGCTCTAATAGTCAAGTCTTATAGAATGATCGATAGAGTGAGTTAAGTCAACTTTTAGAAAAGAGATCTAAATATTTGGAGGTCTAAAATTTTATATCCCATATTTCTATAGAATAAAAAAATAGGAAAATACACGATGAAATGCATAATGTTGATTCTCAAATGAAACCTAGATTACAACTCTAGAAAATACTTCCCTTAAATTAAATGTAAAATAATGAGAACAGTAGCTTTGAATCCATCCTTCAGGAATATTTTAGAAGATAAATATGATTTATCATTAAAAATCAGGAAAATCATCATCTGCTAATGGATCTATTAATCTTGCACTTTATCCAGTTAAGATATGTTTAATAACACTTTCATTCTCAGCTATTTTTCGTTCGTATTCTTTTCTGAAATCTGGGAAATGATATAGGAGGATTTCTTCATAAACCATATCTTCTGATATTCATATAAAATACCTTTTAGTTGTTCTGTAGTTAATTCATACAATTCAAACTCAAACTCTTTGTCGCTTACTGGTTGACGATAAGGTTCATCTTCAGGAGAATGAAGATCTTCGAAATATGGGTGTGCCAAGGCTTCATCAGCTGTAATTCTTTTTGTAAAATCAATTTCTAAGAGTCTTTCCAATAGATCATATCCTTAAGGAGAAATCCCTTTGATGATTTTATCCAGTGGAACTTTTTAAAATTATCCCAAATGAACAACAGCCTCCAGCATCTTTTGTTAAAAGAAGGGATCTTTGTAATTTTTGATATCTTGTTTATTGGGAGTACCCATAGTTTCAAAGATTAATTTTAATTAAGATTCTGCAGATGCTCCTCTCCACAAAGCTTTACCACGTACAATCTCAGCAAATATACAACCAACTGACCACATATCTACAGCCTTTGTATATTGTTTCAGTCCCAAAAGCAATTCAGGTGCTCTGTAATATCTAGTTTCAACATAATCAGTCATCACATTTGGATTCTAACCATTGAGCCCTTAACTGAGCAATGCTCTACTCAAACCAAAATCGCAGACTTTTAACATACAATCTTCCTTGTTTAAGAGAATATTCCTAGGCTTTAAGTCTCTATGTAAAATGTTGGCAGAATGCATGTATTTAATTCCTCTCAAGATTTGATATAGAAACAACTTATAATGATCTTCAGTTAATTTAGCATGTTCCCTTTCCAAAACTTTACGTAAATCCGTGTCCAACAACTCTGTAACCAAATAACTAAGAATATTTAATCAACATTACATGTCATTCATTGATACTCTGGATTTTGGCAGTGCTATGGTAATTAAATTAACAATCTAGGAGATATGTTTAAGAATACATTTTCATGTTTAAGATTCCTTAATATTTTCAATTCTCTCAATGTACGTTTAGCATAAAAACGATGCTGGAAAGTCTTCTCGATTTTCTTTATTGCCACTTTTTTAGGCCCTTCAGGAGGTGCCTTCAAATCATCTGCCTGTAACACTACTCCATAGGCTCCACTTCCCAGTTGATTTGTTGGATTGTACCTTTTGTCCAATATGAAATTGTGATCCCCTACTTTAAACACGTTGGCGGTGTAATTTTTTTGGGTATATTAGGCATATTATTCCTTTATGTCCATATAATTATTAAAATTATATTAATTAATAATTCGTTTAATTGCATACAATCCTATATTTATAAATGCTGAGAACTATCAATTGTATATTATATGAATCATTATTATAACTAAAAGTGAGATTTTTGATAAGTCTATCTGCAGATTGGACAATTGTTAACCTAAGTCATTGAATATCTTTCGAAAGAATTCAAACAATTAGCATGAAACATATGTGAACAACTCAGTAGAAACACCTTGGCATTCACCATACTCTATAAACATATTGTGCAATCAACTTCTCTCCTTTCTAGAGCCACTTTCTTTATGCTAATCCAATCCACCTTTATTATTGGTTACAATTTAGCCATCTACTCGTTATTGTGCTTCATTTGATAAATCTTGTTTAAATTGTTTTCCATCTGCTCCTACTTTATTTGAATATTTTCACCCAACTGATTTATTGCTTATTGTGCTTAATTACCCTATTATTAAATAGTCTTTGACATTCTTGATGATATTCTAGATAATTTATAAAATAGCAATTTCCTCTTCAATAAACTGTTTTCTGGTTTGTATTACATTTTTATCATCCTCTCATAAAACTATTTTCTGCATCTAAACTACCGAAATAATGCTTATATTTTAATTATTGATTAAATCTTATATTGTTTGTTAGCCACCATAAATTGCTTCTTCTCATAATCCTATCTTCTACAAATAGGACATTGTTTTGTTTATGAGACCCTCTCAAAACTTTCCAAACAGGTTTTATGATAGATGTGACTACAACTCAAAATTACATGTTATTGCATTCTGAATTTCTCTAAGCAAATTGGACATACACAATTTTAAATATCTTCCCTTTTAAGAGACTGTTCCTCAATCTATGCCCATTCCTCTTAGTTTAGAGGTTTTGGAGGTGATGGTACTAATCCCAATTTTTAAGCTAATGATAATTATTTTGAATTAATTTTAGGCAATTTGAAGAGTTATCTACTTAAATGATCCTATAGTGCTGCTGCATTAATACAGAACTTATTTTATTGTTTATCCTAAAAACTACTTTATTTTTTATACTTTTTCATATCAATTATTTAAATTATATTATCAGTTATCTATTTTATATACGGTTTTACAAATTTGAGTTTTTTTCTTTTTTATATACATCCCTTGAACTACAGTGAATATCTTTATGAATTTCGTTCTCCAATGAGGGAGCATTTTCAGAATATAAAGATAAAACTGATACAAATACATAGAGTATTTTACCATATCATACATATAAATAACCTTATTTATTAATATATCAAAGTTAGACCATGAATTCTTGTGATAATTTCTTATTCCCTTTCTTTGTAGATTTAGTATTATGAGATCTTTCAAAATGCTTCTTCATTTATTTATGATTCTTAAATATTTATTTACATTATGAGCACTATATTTATTATTATTTGTCTACTCCTTAAATTTAAACTCTTTTTATCTTTTTTGTTTAATGAGAAATTGGATTATCATCTTTTTTTTCTATCCTCTCCTCTTCTTCATCAACTATGCTATCTTATCATTATCAAAATACTTTATCTCTATAGGTGTGTTTGATCTTGAATCTATTTGTCTTTATTTATTGCCTTCAAAAGTTGACAGTGGATCATAACCCATTTCTATTCTCCCTTGATCATTATGATTTGGGATTTATTTTTCTTCATTCATTATTTCCTCTCCCCTTGCCAATTTATCACATCTCTCAGATAAACTCGCACATTGCAAATATAATTGAGCTAAAGCATTTAGATGTGTAGTCAAAGGAACGTATTACATTATTTATTGAATCTAGCTACATCAAATAAATCATCCTTTTATTAATCGTAATCCTTATAATTTTTATCGTTTAAACACATTATTTACAATTTTCCAATAAAAATTTATCTTAAGGTCATTCATCAACTTTAAAATGATTTAATAATTTTTAAAATAAATATTTTATTATTTCATTTATCCAAACTAATTCATTAAATTTACTGTATCTTAAATTCATTTTGCCAATTTAATAAAAGTAATCTTAATAAAAATAATACAATCTTAACTTATATTTAAATATTTATTAAGTAAAATATCCACTAAAATCTCAATGTTAAAAAGTAGGGTGTAGCTATAAGAAAAGACATTCTTATAATTTCTTATAAATCTAATTTTTTTCTAAAAAATTTCTTTTTTCATAAAATTATTTGAATATTTTATTTTACCATTTTATGAATTATCTTAAAATTAAATTGCTCTTAATTTAAAAACAAATTGCCATGACAAAATCAAACAATATATAATAAATTTAGAAAAACAATTAATTTAATTCCTAACTACAAGATAAGCATCAGGTCCTAAAAATCTGCAGAATAATAATGAAATGTCTCTTGATTTAAATATTGTTAAAAACAAATTTAGTTATATCTTACATAAATTAATTTGGTTTGCTTAAAGCTATATATGATTAAGAAATCTATTTAATTATATTTAATAATTTATTCGAATTTCTTTAAATCATAACTATATGCTAGATTTTTATAGAAGGGTAAATAATTATAAAAATGAGGGAGACTATATAGATAGAGCTCACAATCGTTTTATAGCCACCCGCATTTATTGTATTATCTTTCCAATAAGTTTTATTGACATAATGATTAAAAATTTCAGTAAATTATAGTTCTTATAAAATAGTAAATTATAGTTCTTTTAAAAGTAAATCACTAAATTGTATATTTGGTTAATTTTAACTTATGTTATTTTATTCAAAACTCATTAAAAATCATTGATTATGAATGAATGTTTAGTTACTTAAATATATTATTAAATTTTAGGTATTATAAATCTAATAATGGATTTAATCGTTGCATTAGAAAATAAATAAAAAACAATCCTTTTGGACTATTAAATATAAATTTCAGATTGGTTAATGTAATCACAGAACACACAGGCTTACTCACGGGTTCGTATGTGAGTAACAACAGCATGCTCTAAGGCCGATAACGAATATTTTCATCATACAAAGAGTAATGAGTTTTTGTATATTGGTAAGAAAAAATGAATAATTAATAATTATGGGTTCTCTCATTATTCATATATTTAGTTTTATCTCAAAAAAGCGAAATACGAATTATACAGTTATTAATAATTATAAAAATGGGAAATAATTGTGGAGGACAATGCACTGGCTGCTATAAAAGGGATCTAGAAATTGTCGTAATTATAAGTGTCTATTTTAGAAAAGTGAGCAGTAACAAATTTTATCGGAGAAACCAATTGAATCTTCTAGTAAACGCAGTTCAAAAAATAATGTTTAACAGAATACAGTTTAGATGGGTAGCAAGAGTGATTTGATGTAAAAACCGATTACAAAGAGCGTAGTTGATATGGTAGAAGACAAGTAAAAGAAGACAAAAGCAATAGTTAAAATATAATCTCATTGGAGAGGATATAAAGTGAGAAAAGAAGTCTATTCAATGATAAAGAGTCAAACAAGTGTTAGCAGTCAGGTTAGCAAATCAACAGGCAGTTATTTTGACAGATTGGGAAATGAGTCAAAATCGTAGAAGTATTAAATAGTTGATTCCCTAGATTACTTAAATTATATAATGGACAATGGTTAGGAAATGAGAGACATGGGTAAGGAATTTAGAAGTGGCCAGATGGAGCCACTTATGAAGGGGAATGGTAACATAACAAAGCGAATGGCAAAGGCATATTTCGTCATGCAGATAAAATAGAATATGATGGACATTGGAGGAATAACAAAGCATGTGGATATGGGATATTGAAATCACCTAGTGGAGCCTATTATGAAGGAGAATGGGAAGATGATTTGTAGCATGGATTTGGAAAAGAGAAATGGGCTGACGGATCATTTTATGAAGGTCAATATGTTAAAGGTATGAAATGTGGAAAGGGCAAATATGTCTGGAGTGATAACAGTTATTATGAAGGAGAATGGTTGAATAATAAAATACATGGATAGGGAGTTTATCATTGGATTGATGGAAGAGGCTATATTGGATAATGGAAAAATGGAATGATGAATGGACAAGGCGAATATAGTTGGATCGACGGTCGCAAATATATTGGAAATTATTTGAATGATCAAAAACATGGTTATGGAGTCTATCGTTGGGTGGATGGTAAGGAATATAGAGGGGAGTGGCAATTTGGTTAATAAAATGGAGAGGGAACTTATATAACTGTGGATGGTAAGAGTAGGAAAGGATAATGGTAGGATGGCAAACTAGTTAAATGGATTAAATGATCTTATTTTAAATTAATTTTAACGAATACAAACACATGAATAATGATGAAAGCACGTCCTAAAATAACAGCCATGATCTAATCATTAAAAAGTGGAGAGATAAAGAAAATTAGTCATTCAATCGCAATTCTACATTATATAGTTCTATCAATTCTGTTATAGAAAAATCCTAACCATTTTAACATCTTAAATTATCAAATGGATAGTATTGGGGATAGCTTAAAATGAATAAACCTAATGGTATTGGGTCATGTCATTTTAATAATGGAGGTTTCTATTATGGGGAATGGAAAAATAATGCCATTCATGGATTTGGAGTGTATTTCTTTAATGTTGGAGGTTATATTAGAGGTGAGTTTAAGGAAGGACTTGCTGATGGTAAATGTGAACTCTAGTATTAAAATGGATAACTCTACTAAGGACATTTCAAATTAGGCAAATAATAAGGAGTCGGTAATAAAATTGGTAGAAGAGGAAAAGAAGTTGTCTAATACAAAGACGGCATACGAGTATGTTTATATGAAGAACCTTAATAAATTGAGGATATTCAAATGATGTTGAAAGATCATTTACCATAAATTTATATTCATAACGATAGAGTTGTTTATGGCTTACAAATTGATCTAACTGGTTTGGGAGTGATTTAATATAATAATGGAAGAGTAGATTTGGGATGGTTTCAAAATGGATCACTCAATGGAAAGGGAAAAATCATCTTTAAGAGCGGAGACATCTATGATGGACTATTAAAAAATGGATTCTTTTAAGGTTAAGGTAATTATTGTTATTAATCTTAAGGTTTTTATTTAAATTACAATTCTAAATAATTGACGGAAGGTCAATTCGAAAGGAATCAAATCTTATCAATTCAGAAATAAGATTATCTGTATCCTCCATACTCCAATGAAGATATCTAAATCGTTGATCAAAGGATTCTGATCAAAAACATTCACTTAAAAACTAGAGTTATGATTGGAAACAAATAATAGAATTCTTCTGAAAAAAAATCACATAAGGTGAATAAAATATCAAATGGCATTTAACATCTGATTTAATCTATTAAGAAAACATAGAAAAGTGAAAGTAGTTAACATGAAGAAGTTTTGGACAATCTTTTGGCAAGAGTTCAATCACCACAATAAAGAAAGAATCTAGAATAGATAATTAGTCAGGTTACATCTCCATAAAGGATTAGATGATAATTTATATATATTTTCATTTATAATAAATGTAACAATCAAAATTAAATAAATCATCCTTGTAACAACAATCAATAAAAGTATATGTAAGAGTAAGGCCTTTATTGAAAAAAGAGTTGGGATAGGAATGCATAATTAAAACTGATCAAGTAGTAATTTGTTCCTAAAAAATAGCAAAAATATGTTGTGATTGAACAATCTACACATATACTGAAGTAGGAATATGATCAAGTGTTTGATGACAAAGTGTCGTAGGCGGAAATATTCAAATTCATATCTCCTACCATTCATAAAGCATTGTAAGGATACAATACAACAATTATGGCATATGGGCAAACAGGCAGTGGTATTTCTGTAGTTCTTAAACAGGTAAAACACATACAATGTTTGGAAGTGACTGGGAATATTCACTGAATATAAGTTTGGGCCATTAATCGACATTCATTGATGATTTATAAACAGATTAGAATCATGCAGGTATGATACCCAGAACTATTTATACTCTGTTTAATAATTTACAATAAGGGTATTATGTTTACTGTTCATTCTTGCAAATCTACAATGAGAAGATTTATGACTTATTGCAAGATCATAAAGTTCCTCAAGCTCTATAGATTCATGAATCAAAAACAGAAGGGATTTATGTTGGTAAATATAATCAGAGATTTTAGAACAATTGACTGAATATGCAGTGAATAATTTATATGATTGCTTGACATTGATGAAGAGAGGAGAGAAGAACAGAATGATCAGGCAAACAACAATGAATTTAAAGTCGAGTAGAAGTCACACTATATTTCAATTGCTGATTGAAACAAGCAAGGCTGATTCAGGTGGATAGTTATTGAGATCCAAAATCAATTTATGTGATTTAGCTGGTTCAGAAAAGATTAATAAATAAGATTCAATGACCAGTGCTCACTTGAATGAATTAAAGAGCATCAATTAATCTCTCACTACTCTAGGAAAGGTAATCCAAAATTTATCTCAAAACAATAAAAACATTAACAAATTGCCAATTCCATACAGAGAATCAAAGATCACAAGATTATTGTAAGATAGTCTCGGTGGGAATACATTAACTAATATATTTGTGAATGTTGCTCCAAATATTTACAATATAGATGAGACTGCAAATTCATTGAAGTTTGCTTAACGAGCTCGAAATATTACTCAAATAGTATAAGCGAATTCGATTAATGCAACTGATCAAGAATTGGTTAATAAATTATTAAAAGAGGTAGATAATATAATTGAATATAGATTGACTATTTGAAACAATTGCTTAATATGAAGAGAAAAGGGTTGAATAGTAATGACATTCATTTCAAGTTAATGAAAATCTAAGAAGAGAATGAGAGATTGAGATAAGCAAATTTATCAGTGAATGAAGTTGAGAAATTGATGTAAGAAAATAGGAAGATGAGAGAGGAATTATAAAAGCTGTAATCTTAATCTCATGAAAACTCAGAAAGTTCTCACTTGATTAAACATGGGTCTGAAGAAGGATTTTCAGGATCAGAAATTGATAAGCAATACAATACCTATTAGTAGACGTAGCTCTCGAATAATGGTCTATTGATAGTGAGCAATCCAAGCATGCAGAAGACTGAGGTGACTGTTCGTTACAAGGATAGAGGAAATAAAGTGCAAACCAAGTTGGGGTATGTGGAAGCCAGTGAACAGATGTTGTAGAGGGAAAAGAGATTGATGAGTGAGAGGAAGAGAGTAATTGAGAGATTAGAATTGTTGGAGTAGTTGTAATTCAAAAATAATCTGAATTCTTCCATGCCATTAAATGGAAAGTTTCCGAAACCTTCAAAGAAAAACTCCTATAATTTGTTAAACAGGACTGTGGAAGAGGAAAGGATAAGTCTACCAAAATTAAAGATTGCAGAAAGGAAACTAATTCATGATTAATTAATATGAATAAATAAACTAAAATTTATGCATATAAACCATAAATCAATGTTTATGTGAATGGTTATCCTGATTTTAAGGCAGCCATTGAAGAAAAGTTCATGCGAAGTCAAATAAACAAAAATTATGTTTTCCCAAGAACCAAGCAAGACCTATCTGAAAGTCGTTGTGAGGTAAAGAAAACACTTCCGATTAGAAGAAGAACTAATACAGAACCCAATTAAGTGGAATTAAAGTAACAATTTCAACCCAAGTCGGCTGAAAAAAAGGAGACTAAATAATTACTAATAAAAGGCTCTATGACTGAGAGGAAGAGTGTGCGATAGACTATTCCATAGACTCAAATACTTGCAGATTAAATTCTCAAGCAATTTGAATTGTATAAGAGGAATAAGAGACTCATGAGTGTAGGGTAATCATTGAGTAGAATAAGAAATTTGTTACAAAAATAACAGATGTGAATATAATTTATATTATTTTAATTAATCAATTCATGCAAGAAGTCAAACCTCCAAGAGAATCTTTGGTCAAATACGAGAATCCCATTGAAGTCAGCAATGCTAATGATGCCTCCAGAGGACTTTAAGGAAAAAAGAAAGCTTAGTTATCTCCTTTAGAGTCAAAGCCAAATACAGAAGTAATACATATGTTTGAAAAATCAAGGACATTTTGAATGCTATTTTGCCACCAATTGAATGGGATCATGAAGGAAAACATTATATACAGTATGTGTCACATGTGGCGGCTACCAGAGAAGATGTTGGCAATTTACAAAAACTCTTGGATGAACGATTATTAGCTCGATAAGCCAGGTATTTTTAATTCTAAAGCCTTATTCTAGAGAAACTGGTATTTGTCCAATAAGAGAAGAATTGTTGAGTCAATGTTTTGATGAAATCATCAGATAAGTTACAATCGATTGTCCTGAAAGGGGTATTCAATTTCATCTATTCTTAATTAGGCTTATTATTGATGAGAGTGAGGGATGAACTCAAGATGACTATTGCAGCATATTAAACCTTATACAATTCTTCAGTTACTTTCGGAATGCGAAAATAATTATAAGCTGAAATGGGCAAAAGTGAATTAGAAGAAAAGATTGTCTAGTTGGAACAGAGGAAATAGAAATTGGAGGAGAAAGTATCAAATGCATTTTATTTAGAGAATCGATTTACTTAATAAGAAGGATTCGTTGGATAAAAAGATTAAGGAGAGAAATCAAATTGAAGAATAAAAAAGGAAATAGGAAATAGAATTCCTCAAATATTAAGGACAACATTTGGAAGCTTTCCTTAAATCGGTTTAGCCAGAATTGAAATGAATGATGTTATATAAATATTTATAAATCATTTATAATGGTACAATAATACCAAAACATAGCTTATGATTGTTAGAATACTTAAAAAAGCCACAATGCCATAAGTTTTCTATTTCTATGTCTTATTGTAATCTGAAATAGCTTGTAAAGTGATTTCAGCTTCTTCCTTTGATTTAGCGTACTTATTCATTTGTATTATTTTTTTTAATTTAATTATGTTACTTTATGTATATGTATTTCTATAATGTAATTGATTTTTTCATGACATCTTCATGTTGTATTCAACAATAAATAAAATAATTAGAGAAAGAATTTTAATTTGTCATCAAATTATTGATTTAATGTTGTTTAAGTATATTATATGCTCTTAAACAATGATGAAATTGGATAAACTATATATACATTGTAATAACAATAACTCATTTGATCTATATTTAACTTTGAAATTTTTGTATTTATTATTCTATATCCTTTATTAATAATTATTATTTTTTTTTCTTAATCTATGCTTCTTCAATACTCTTCTATTACAATAAATCAATCCGTTCAAAATTCTAGAGTTCTTTTTTAATGTTTTAAGCTATTTTTTAGTATTTGTCATCCTACTTATTCATGTTTTTCAGAAATGCATCAATTTTGTCTGAATTTGGTTTTTCATTTCCAGTAATTACCATTCTCGGAACAATCAAGCCTGGCATTTTTCTTAATTAATTCCAATCAATTCCATCGAAAAAAGGGTGATCTTTGATCTCCTAAATGTTATTGTGTCCAATTCTCTTAGTAAATTCAGGCTCCATCAACTATTTAATCAAATCAGCAGCATTATGAGATATGCAGTCTTCCTCAGACCCTATTTGTGGCCATTCCATTCTCAAATTCAATATATTATCAAATAGTCTCTCAACTGTAGTATCATTGAAAGGTGGTACTCCCACCAACAATTCGTACATGATGACGCCTAGACTCCAGTAATCTGTACTATAATTATCGGAAGACACTCCTTTGATAATTTCAGGAGAAATGTAATCTGGAGTCCCCACTATGGCTTTGGTTTCGACCGATTGTTTTTTGAGAGATTTATGGATGTTGTATTATGGTTCATAATTGATTTGAAGATTTTGAATCATATCTCCAACAATTCCTTTAATTTTAAAATTCTACTACCTTTGCAATTACTTCTTCAATTTGGTGTTCATACCTTAGGCAGACAACCCAAAATCAGCCAATTTGGCATGACCTTAACTATCTAATAGTATGTTATCAGGTTTTAAGTCTCTATGAACAATGTTATTCTTCCTCAAGTATTCCAATGCTAAGACGATTTCAGCCAAGTAGAATTGAACATATGCTTCGTCAAGTGCTCCATAGACTTTGAGAATATTGGCAAAGTCACCTCCAACCATATACTCTTAGACAAAACAATAGTAGTGATCGTGAACAAAGGAATAGTAGGCTTTAACCACAAAGTCACCAGTCAATATTTCGAAGATATTACGTTCAGCTTTTAGAGTTTCTAAAGATGAATTAGCACAATCGATAATTTTGATTGCGTATAAATCTTAGGATGTCTTCTTTTTGCACAGTAAGACTCCTCCGAAAGCACCTTGGCCTAGTGGTTTAATAATATCAAAATCAGCCATTCTTACTGTGGTATTATTTTGACTTTCTTTGAAAGTGACAACTTCGCTATCAGAATTATAGCCTTTTTCTTTGAAGATTTCCTTTTAGACATTCATATCAACATCATCATCTTCTATGACTTCAGTTTTTAGTATTTATTTGGAATTGAAATCTTCATCATCTTCTTCCTCTTCATCCTTCTATTTCTCCATTTTAAATTTACTCATTTTTTAAATCTATTATGGTCTAGTGGGAACATCTGGAGTCAGATGAACAGTCTTGGTTTTTTCAAATAGATTTTTGACTGCTTTGGATTTAGGTTGAAGAGAACCCTATTTCATCAAAGGGTTTTGGTTTAATTGATTTGAAAACTTGGAGTGGATAAAGGAGATGGAGTTAGCTTTGTTTAGGAAATTCTTTTTGATAGAATCTATTTAGGATTCTGTTTCTTTATTTTGTATTAATTGGATTTTTTTGAGATGCTCAATTCTATTTTTTAATGAATTTTAAGCATCAATTATAATTTATTTACTCTATTAATGAGAAATATTTAACAATGCTATTGATAATTCTGATACTAATAACATATTAGCTTAATGATATAAGAAATTGAATACATTTGAGTTCTTCATTTTCAGGTTGATTGAATATCTTTTCTGCATGTTGATATATGGATGACAATGCTTAATTGATTGATCCCAACTCTTCTTCTTTAACGTCATCTTGCCTAATTACTCTTTTAGATTGATTCTTCAACTCCTTCATTCTAGTATTTAATGATAATAAAGGTTACAATTTCATTCCTTATTTGACTTGAATGTCATGCTTTACTTGATATGCTTTTTCTGAAATAGAAGCAAGAATTAAGTTCTCTTAAACTAATAATCTTTTAATGTTTGCCTTTTCTAAACAACCTTAACTATGTTATTACATTGTATTCATATTTATTTCCTAGTCACAAATTCTACAAACTGAAAGATTGTCTTTTAATATTTGATCTTTCTTTTTTTGTAAATGTCTACATAACAACATAACAGATACTAGATTTGTTTATTCATGAATATTTGGAACACCTTCAAATGCGAGTAATCCAAATCCATCAGGAATTTATTTAAGACAATTACACATTGATGGATCAAAGATTCCAATTATCTAGTTTTATTATCGGAACTAATCTTACTTCACACTAACATTCCATTGCTTTTAGGGTTGTTGCAATCTGAGCTTCGATTGCGATTGGTTTAGTATTGGAATTGATGAGTACTATGAAACCATGTCTTGAATGAGATGTTCTAAAGTCTAGCATTCTTGCAAATCAAGATTTGATTCTATTTGAGTCAATTTCGTGGTCATATCATTTAAATATATCAGTAATCTCGATGTTGCTTAAGACTTATTTCTAGATTGGCAATAATTACTTTACTAAATGACATGCTGGTTGTCTTTAAATTCTGTTGTAATTACTACAGTAAGTGTCTTTTTTGATGGAAATCCTGAGGAGAATCATCCACAATTATTTTCTTGTAACCCAATTCACTCTAATCCCGACAATCATGTTAAGACTTTGTGCGAACTTTATTTTGTTTCATTAATTATAATTTATTGCATTAATTTGCATCATATATTTATAGAGAGTACAATCATTTAAGGACATTATCTTATTATTGAAATCATAACCAAGGTAATCTCCTCTGAAATGCCCAATCCATCAAATTACACCACATTCAACTAGCTAATATTAACACATTTGTAAAGACTCAAGTATAAGGATTTTACTATTAGATTACTACTGTCCATTGGAAATATTTAAGCTATGCTGATATTCTATTTGAATGTTGCAGAAGAAAGGCATCTAATTCATTCCAAAACTGTTTATATTTAAACAACATGATACATGAAGATTTGAAATTAATTTTTACTTAAACCTAGTTTGATATATATATAAGTTCTTAATATACTGTAATTATGAAGTTATTTTGAAATCTGGGGGGGGGTGTTTTATATTACATCAATATCTTGTTCTGCATAGGAAATTATTAATCAATGGGGAATTTACAATATAATTGAATTAAATAAGAAAATACTTAATAATTACACTCTATAATTATATTTTATTCCTTTTAGTATTTCCAGATTAAATAAAAGAGTGTTCTCTCACTTTCTGGAATTCCAAAAATTGCTTGGATAATAATCTGCTGTAATTAGAAAAATAATATATGAATAACTAGAATTCCTAAGCTTTCAATTTTCTTATAAAACATACAAAAATTGTGATCATATTTATAATATAATTAGGGTAAATTATGTATAAAGTGTCACATATTAATATTACACATTCTTAATATATATCATTTAACTCTCTTTTAGAATTATTCATCTTCCCAATCCATTTCATCCCATTTTGGTTAGGTTTCAGTTTTCTTAATGGGAATAGCAGGTGCCTTTTGGACTGGAGGTTGAGTGGCTAGATTACTTTATTTTAATAATTGGGCCACTGATTGTAAATCAGCATCTTCATTTTCTAATTCAAATTGCATGTAATATCCACAAAGATGAACAGATCCATTTCCTTTAGCTTCAAGCTTAGCTGGTTATTATTCAGGTGTGATCTTAATTCTAAGTGGCATTTAGGAGATTTTCTATGGAGCAATATAATCATACTTGATTCAATGAGGCTATGACTATTCCATTCATTAATACATTAAGGTTGGTTCCTTTAACCAAAACTGCTTATGATAATACAAATTAATTGTGGTCATCTCTCTTCTGAATAGTTTATGATTCCCCTGCAGATAATTATATACCATAAAACATATTTATTTATAAATATTTTAATTAGAAAATCATAGTATTATTTATAACCTCATTAACTATTTTCGGAATAAGAAATTTTGCAATAAAAAATATAAGCCTAAATAAATTTATCAATCTATGCTATCAGAGATTGGTCTGTTAACTAATAAACTCATAAACAGAGATTTTTACAATATTGGCCAGATATTGAATTAATATTATATATTCCACTCTAGATTTAAATGAATTGCCTAGATAATGTTTTGTTAATTCAAAATATTTATTTGAAGAACAAACTAAATTTTATTTAATTATATTCATAACATACTGAACCATTAATCTCAAAGTATAATTTATAATTTAGGATCAGTATAAATTCTAGATTACTTTGATAATGATAATTATTTTGTAATATCAATTCTATAATAATTTATTTAATATTTAATTCATTTGGATCTAGTAAGAATACTATCAATTTTCAGTTATTTTTAACAAATTTAGTTTGAAATAGGTATTATCCACATAAAACTAATTACAATTCAACTTCTATCTTTAAATATGTATAATATTAAATCATTTAATTCAAAAATTAGTGAATAGATGTAATTTAAGTAATTGATGAGTTTATTGGAATATATTATTACAGATAAGATACTGCATAAGAATCCATTCATAGATAATCAACTAAAAATCTCGAATTGTAATTGAAATTAAATATTTACGTGTAATTATTATTAATTATGATAGCAAATATAATTACTTTGTTGGTTTCTTCCCTATCATTAACATTCATAGGTTTATTGTACACATAAATAGTCACCTATAAATAACAAAAGGATGTTGAAATATTAATTGGTTTCTTGAATAAGTTTATATCATAAAATTATTATAATCCTTAGTCATATGATAGATAAGTAACTAATTATTTCTAAGTAGTTCAATTCGCTTCTTGTATAACCAGAGAATGATTACTGCATACGTTCAGATACCTACAAATATTATCATCCTGATTCCATTATGATGGACACCTATACATTTAGAGAATATCCAGGTCTAATAAAACAAGCACTTTAACAGCACTTTTTCGACGTATTACCAAATGTCACACTCCACAAAAGAAACAAAGATTGTAAGCATAACTTCATTTTTAGTACCTCATAAATATAAATTTCCCTTGTAATTAACACTACCATACGCTTATTACGATTAATTACTATTTACATTTAAAGTAGGATTAAGTATATTATTTTAGCATTAACAATAGGTTCATTGTGTCTCTTTCAAAACTATAACCATTTACCTTAAAGATCCTCTTTATCCCATAAAAATTAGTTGATGACCAATTAGCTCAATTATTTAAAAGATATCAAAAATAAAGGCCTCCATAAGGATTGCATTGTAATAGATGTGATAATATTTAGGCCAATGCCACTTTTATGCCCAAAACCTACAGACTCTTTGAGGAGGCTGAATGTAAGTAGTTTTTCTCTTACTTGAACTCAACCGAATATCAGAACAAAGTAAAAAAAGAAGGGCCTTAATTTATTGTTAAAATGGGATTAGAAGTCCATAGAGGGAGAGGCATAACAATGTTGTTTCCTGAAGAAACTGAATAGTTAAGGGAGAAATTTCAGAATGGATATGCTTGTGGAGAGATTAAAACCTATAAATTAGCTTAATAATACATAGGAAATCCATTCTTGTTTAAGGGACATAAAATAGAGTTTAGGGTTTATTGGATTGTGGTATCTACTAATCCCTTGATTGCATATGCATATGATAAAACACTCATAAGAAGATGTATTTATCCATTCGATAAATTCTCAACACTCAAAGGAGCTCATGTTTGTAACACAGCAATTGTTAAGAAGACTTTGTATTCGATGTTGAAGGAATCAGAAAATGATGAAAATGATGAGAATGATAACAATGATAATGATGAACTTATTACAAAATCTACAGAGAAAACTACAACAAATACCTAAACAACAAAAACTACTGATAGCACTATTAATTAGACCTAAAATAATAATAAATCTATTCCTGATGAAACCAATTTGCAAGATCTTTATATAGATTGGAAACTTGATTATTTATAGGAACTCTTGTTAAAATAGGGTAAAATAAAGAATAGAAAGTGGTTAAAATAAGAATTGTTACCTTAAGTTGATAGAATGATTATTCATGCAATCAGAAGCACACAATAGACTTTTGTCAAAGATAGCAAATTAGGAGAGTTCTTTGCTGCTGATTTCCTCTTAACAGATGACCTGAAACTTCATATAATGGAAATCAATTACAACCCATAGACTCTCAAGACTACTGAGGCACGAATTAAGCAACATACAAAAATGGTTTAAGATATGGTAGAAATATCCAATGCCTATTTAAGAAGTAGATATATAAGATTTAGAAAGATAATTGATAGTGTTTTAGAGAAGGTATCAAAAGAGAAATTAAAAATAAAAGAACTGTTAGGTCAGAAATTGGAGAAAGAGATTAATCAAGCATATTATAGTAGGTTGGAACCAAACATAAGTATCAGTCCAAAAAATCTGTTTAGATTGATTATGGATGATGGTTTACCTGGCACATCTAAATACAAGGACCTCTTACAGGCGAAGTGTTTGAAATGATGTATTATTGACATTGTTAAATATCTAAGATAATTATAAATATTATAAGAGTGTTATTAGGATAACCTTTTTGTACTTTTACCGTTGAAATTAAAAATTAAAAATAAACTACACAATGTTGGTCTAACAGCAATAAAGATAAATGCCAATGACACCCGTTCCGAGCAATGCCAGAAAAGTTATTGAGAACTTCAGCTATGCACTTACAGATGCCATTGGAAAGGGTTTCAGTTCTATTGTGTATAGAGGCAGGAATGATGAAACTAATGAAATTGTGGCAATAAAGGTCATTGATAAGAAGGGACTTAAAACACCCTTACATTATCAATTGTTGAGGTCAGAAGTGGAAGCTCTTTCCCAACTAAACTCAAACAATATCATGAGATTATACAAGGTTTATTACACTGAGAACAATACCTATCTAATAACAGAGTATTGTGACTCTGGGGATTTGGGTTCATTATTAACCAAACAAGGAGCATAGAAAGAATCATAGTTACAAAGGTTGTTCTAAGGAATAATATAGGGATATAAATAGATGAAGCAAAAGGGTAAATTTAGCCTCTCATCTTAGGTATTGTACATAGAGATCTCAAGCCAGCCAATATTCTATTAAAAGGACAGGTTCCTAAGATAGCAGATTTTGGATTTGCCACTACTCCTTAGACTGTTGCCACCATGCCCAATGTAAATGTTGGATCTCCATTGTACATGAGCCCTCAGGCATTTAAAAATAGATATTCTGAAAAGTCTGATATTTGGGCTTTGGGTGTTAGTTTATTTGAATTACTATTTGGGTAAGTTCCATGGCAAGCAGGGACTGAACGAGAATTAGCTTAGAGGATGGCTACTGTGCCTGTGAATTTCCCAGGACATCTCTCAGATGAATGCAGAGACTTTATTCAGAGGTGTCTGGTAGTTGATGAGAACAGAAGAGCTACAGTTGAAGAATTAGAAAGACATGTCTGGTTACAAAGATAAGAATTGCAAGTGATTAAAGGGAATGGATTTTAGGGTATTTTTAGAGGTAGTCATGGTGGTCAACAAAATCACATTCAATTCCACAATATCTAGAGTAATGGTTGTGTCAATACCACATCTCCTTTAGGGGAGGCTCATAATAAATAGTAGATGTTGATGTAACCAAGGGAAAGCACTTACGGAAAAGAAAATACATCTTCAATACCTAGATAATAACAAGGCTGTATTTAGTAACAACCTCTGAAATCGATTAAAAGAGTCCAAGAATCAAGGAAGGAGTCTCAAGTCAATTAGTCGATGAATCAGGAATACTCTAGTTAGAGAGATGAGGAATGGAATGAAAATAAGAAGAATGATTACATAATTGTAGCTTAAATGAACTTTTGCAGATATTTATATAGAGTGGCAGCATTAATTGATAAATATCGATTTGTTACTACTCAATATTTGAGAGAGAAATTGTTGTTTCTAGTGAACAAGAACATAATGGTCAAAATGAATAATCTGAAAGAAGTCATTGATGGTCACAACGCTCTTAATTTAGATAAGTTCTAAGAGTATATCTAGAATCCTTAGTTTAGTAAGTTGAGTTCAGCCATCAATTAGTATAATCAAAAATACACTTTACAATTCAATACTGTATGGTTGTGTCTATAGAATCCAGAATAAAAATAATTGTTGGTTGTTGACAAAAAGTTCGATGCAATTTTTGATGATAATTTTACTGAGTATGAATCTTTTTACATAATTCTCAACTCCATTCTCAGAAGTGCAATCAAAGAGATTGAATACTAACTCGAATAGAAGATCACATTCCAAGATACCCAATAATTATTGCCAATAGACATCGAAGGAGGTGTAATATTATTGGATTACTTGATCACATACTTTTAATTAGCATCCCTAATTCAAGAGTGTTTCGAAGATCATTATGGATTTGCTGTAGATTCTAAAATCGAATAAATAGCTGATGGCAAACCAGTGCGTCTGACCTTTGGACACTACATCGAAATCAGAAGTAAGATAAAATAACTTGATATTTGATACATAGTTTATATATTGACAGTTATTTTATACAGAGTTGTACTAAAATTCACAATCATCCACACTCATCAAAGAGATCTATTAACTATTTATTATATTATTTTAAATAGAGATGCAATCCTCAAATAATCAATATCTCTAGTTTGTGGGAAAACCACATATTACTGCAGTCATAGCAGGTGGCAGGAGAAGAGTAAACTATACATTCGAAGACAAAAGTGAACTTGTAGAAGAATATGATATCAACAATCATGAATTAATTAGTAAGTTTTGAATAATAAGTAACTAACAGGTAGAAAATGGAAGCGAGTATCGAATATTAAGGAATCCTAATGGATTTATGAAGTTGGAGAAGCTCCAATCGATCAATAAGGAGAGTTGAAATTATCCAATGCAAATGTAACTATTTAATTTACAGAAGCCCATATTTGTTAGGAAGGACACTCCTCAGCACTTCCAATATAGAGTTCGTAATCTGAATTATCCAGAGGATGTTTATAAAGTGGAAGTGGATGAGAATACTCAAGAAATTGTGATTAGAACATCCAATAAAAAGTACTATAAAAGATTCGCTATTCCTGATATGAGGAGAGCAAATCTCAAGCTCGAACAGGGGAAGGTCACTCATGTGTACAAGAACAATACTCTAATTGTGTCTGTAAAGCATCATTATTTAGTTATTAGTACCCAAAACCAGATCAAATACTAGAGAGAGAGTATTAGATTAGGCAGGAGTTCGACAAATTAAATAAGAAGAAACCTAAGGAAGGGGATTTAGAGTGTGTATAACAGTGATATATCTGATGTATTTTGGTTATATAGGAAATAAGTTAATTTTCAATTTTGCTCCTTTAATAACAAAATGTATAGTTAATCCATGTCTAATTTTTGGTCTTTGGCTTCTTTGAGCACCATGGGAGCCTTATTAAAATCTAAAGGGTCTGTCCACGAAGGGCCTTTGTTTTAAAGTTCTTTGAGCAGAAGATAGTTGGCAGCATCTATGGACTCTTCGACTATGCAGGGAATTTCAATAGTAGGACCAAATAAGACTTCTTCTTGGTTCCTTTTGCAACATAAACGCCACCAAGTCTTGTATTCTCCTTGTGCAATTAGGGGTATTTTGAATGAAATTTCTGATGTTGCTTCAGCTCCAGATGGCAGGGGAGTAACTTATGATATCAGTTCTTTGAATTCTCCAGGCTCCATACATTTAAAATAGGTATCTTTGGGCCAATCAATGGTTCCATTATTTTTATACCTAAAGTTGAAATTGATTTGTGACCCAGGTTTGCCTTTGGTGAGATTTTCAAATAGATAAATGAGTTGGTAGTTGTACTTGCGTTGATGATAATCTAAAAATTAATCAATTGTATTGATTCTTATGTTCGATTAGATCTCTGCCATTCTGCTTTGCAATTTATCCTAAATCAATCTATCAATGAGATTGATGTCATCCTATTAGATTTAGACGTAGTATTTCCCTAAACAGAGATTGCAGTTTAGACTATTGCAACACGGAATAGATTTACTCTTGGAGGATACGAAGGCCTCATAATATTTGTAAGACATGATTATTTTATTAATCATTTCACATATAATAATCTAAATTTTAAAACTATTTCTCAAGCAACGACATTGTATTCATCTTCAACAGCCTTATTTTTTGCCCTATAAATAATAAACCCAATAAATCCAGCTATCAATAAGCCACCCACAATAATCAAAATGATCCACCACAATTTTGAACTATGAATGATATAACATGATACCTTTTTTCAGGTTCAGGACCAGGAGGATCTGGACCAGGACCAGGGGGATCTGGATTTACAATAATCTTCAAATCAAAATCAATCTGAGATTAACTGAAATCATTCCTGACTTTTATGTCTACTTTCTCTGATTTCAATGGATTATCAACCGTTTAGGTGAAAATTAAAGAAGGTTCTGCATTAATCTAATATTATTGTGTATCACTAGAAGGTGAATTGGCATAGAGTTTATCATTCCTAAAGAATAACCCAAAATCCAATGGGTTAAATGTAGAAGCATCTTGTGTGAAACTGAAACTTCCAATAGATGTGGATGGTTTTGTTGATTCTCCTATTGGGTATATGGCTATTACAATCTTATCTTGATTTTAATATGGAATTGCAGCATGACTCTTTGACACAGCTATGTTTCTCACAGAATTCCAATTACCATATCTATTCAATAAGAATTGACTTTCCAAACTTTGGTAGGCCAAGTATTATTATCCTTCCTTGATGGCAAATTTAATCTTCAAACCATAATGGACTACATTGTTTGTTTGGATGAAAACGTTTAATGTGTTTACATTAAATGATTACAATTCTTTGACCAACAAGTATTAAGTAGAACTGATGGCATATTATTGAATTTTTTATAATTCGGTTGTTAAATTAACATATTCTAAATTCACTATAGTAAATTGTTAATTCTAGAAATAGAAATCTTAGAAGAAAATACCCTCTCCACTTGTAATAAGCACTTTATAATATTGAATACCATCAACCTTATTGACTGGTGTGATAAGGAAATCATTAGGTGTGAAGGTTAACAATTCCTCATATTTATTTTGAATGTGATTTATATTGATTACATATTCTTCATCCAAAACCCAATTGTCTTGATCCTCCATGTTGAGTTTAGAAATAACAAATGATTCATTATCCAAGACAATTAAATAGTCGTTTTGAAGCAGTTGAATCTTTTTGGTATGTGCATTTAATTTCAGGACTTCACCAAGAGGGAACCAACCTGTCAAACTAATACCGCTGGTGGCATAAATAGTGTATTGATTTCCATCATGACATAAACTGAGGATCAAATCATCTAATTAAGTGGATTGGAAACAAGAATACTCTTGAGTAGGGAAATCTAATGGGACAATTTCTTGTTAAGTGTCATCATCATTTAAGAAGATTAGAGCATCTATGGCTTATACAATGTTGTTATTGATGGATCTAATTTTGTATGGTTTGTAAAATTAAACATTGGAAAGTTCAACAGTTTGTGTGATTTGAACTCCATACTTTCCTTTATTGCATTATTCACAGATAATTTGGAATTGAGAGATTTGACCACTATACCAATCACTTCCTAATTTCTTCTCTTTTTTAACGTAGTCTTTAGAATCTATTTCAATTGAACTAGCTTTGAATTTATTTTTATCAATGTACAATTTAGTCTATGTATTGATAACTTTGATAGGCTATTTAATAGTGATGGAAGGTGTGTCATCAAAGTTATAGATCATGACAGAAACATCAACTGATGCTGCGAATTATGGATCATTGATAGAAGGTTCAATAATTAAGACAGGATTAGTCAACATAGCGTAGACATGAGTGGAAGTCTTAGTTTGGAGATAGACATACATTTGAGATGAAGTTCCTTATGTTGAAATTAATTATGGTTCATCTATGGGTACTGCTTAGAATAATGCTTCATGTTAAAGTGTATTAGGTTGAATAACCAAAAGGTGATACTTATTAGTGTCCTCTTTTATTGTTTAACTCTTAGTTTTAGCAAGTACAAAGAGATAACCTGTGTCTGAACAGAAATCACCTAGGATAGGCTAGACTAATTCAAAATCATATAATTAGACTGTTTTGGTCTAATAAATATTGTTCAATCTATCAAAATCATATTCAATAACTTAGTTAGTGATTATGAAAAAGGTCTCTGCTCCAATAGCAATTTCGATATTATCAGATTCATCTATAGCAATTTACTTGATGAAAGTGTATGAGATATGAAAATCAATTAGCGTGATGTGATCTTGATGAACCACAAATATAAGATTTTCTCTTATTTTTCTATTTCCATATATCTTCTTGGGTGCCCATGTTCCCTTGTAACCTTACTCTACTAATAAATCCAAATCAACAGACTTAACAAAGTCTCCATGTTCTGTATAGGCATGAACATTGGCATTTTACAATAGGAACAGATAATTCTTTAAGAACAATATGCTAAGACCATTCTCAAATGGGATCGTTTTAATATCTTTGACTTAATTATCAGAGAATACTTTAAGATTAACTTGTCTATTTTCAACATAAGCAAAGTGGAATTTGGGACATTCACATTCCCACATTTAGAATGTTGATTTAGTCAATTTAGTACCAATACTCACACTATCAAAGACCTTCTCATAAGTAACATCACCATTGAAGATCGAATCATGAATAACCTTGAGAATAGTTAATTTGCCATCTTTATTCTATTGAGCCAAATAGAAATATGATGATTGAGTTCCAACCAACACATCATGGAATAATAGGTCTTTTTGTAACTCTTAAGGGAAATTCAACTCCCAATAAGTTTTCAATTAAACTGTCACAGCAGTTCCATCCTGTTTCCTTCCTACAATTTGTTTGTATTATTCATTTGGGCCACTTGTTAGCACATTCAATTAGAAAGGTTGTGCATCTTCAGTTACTTGATTTGGGAATGGAGTGAGGGTGTCACTGTATTTGTATAGTTGTTTATCATCACTCTCGATAATCTGATATGTAAGTTGAACCTTACAAGTTTGGTCGACACTTGTTGCTATTACTTCAATCATCTTCTTTTCTTACACGTCCTCAGAACCCTTGTATTAAAGATATCCTTATGATAAGGTGTATCTGTAGGCAGTATCCAAAGTCAACACTATAATATCTGGCAAGAATGGATTAATCATAACATAACTAGTTTATGGAATCACTTGTAATTGTAATAAGTCTTTGGATTTTGCATCTATATCAAAAAGATAAGTGGCATCTTCATGTCTGACAACTATGAATTCTTAAGATAAATCAACATTAGCTGGGAATGTATAATGAATCCCTATAGGCAATTTGTATTCTGATTGTAATTAACCATCTACAATTAATTCAACAAATCCATAACCTAATACAGCAATATTCTCAGTGTAAGTCCCATCCCTTCTCAAGAAGATGTTTCTATCAAATGCATAAGCAAAACTCATTCCTGTATCAATAGAATTCTTCAATGAGAATGTGCCATTCGGAATGAAATTCACTATGAATATGTCATATTAAGCATCCAATAAATAAATATCTCCATTCTCCAACACCTTCATATCCACTATATTGAACTCAAAATCATAGTATTTGTCCAACAACAAAGCCATAGTCACTCCGTCCAAAACATATCCTGTATTAGATGGCTAACCCTTATCATTCAATAAGAACACCTCCAACAACGAATCTCCACCCAAAGAACCATCTTTAGACATTGAATATGATGCAGTTGCTCTCACCAAATACCTGTATTCCTTTTCACCTTATCCCTTCACTTTGTATTAACCTAGCATACGCCCATGGTTTGCTTGTACTAATGCATCTTCTATCAAATATTCATATGAATCTCCATCATTCACATAATATAATACATTTTTTATTGCACCCTTTACTTTTTTTGAACAATCCACTATAAAGGTTTTATCAGCTATAATTTCTAAATCATAACAATCCAAACTGTCCTCAATCGTATTCAAAGTCACAACCTCATCAAACTTTGGAGCTACCACGCTCTGACCTGCCTCTCTATATTATTAATTATTCCTTATACCCGTATGCTATTCCCAAAGTTATTGATGTCGTTCCCTTGTTTAAAAATACGAATGAATTCACCCAATATTTATTTGACTTTAGTGCTCTTGATGATACAATCTTAGTGGCAGCTAATAATATTAATAATTTCTGATTACCCTAAGAATATAAAGCTGAACCGCCTGTGTTTTCAACTGGTTCTACTATCTTGAATTAGTTTTATTAGATATCACTTAAGGAGAATGTCAACCCTGCTCCATTAAAGAATTCATCCATCAAATTCCAATTCAATTTTTCATCCTTTGTTGCATAGACTGTGAGGGAATCTACTTTTTAGCTGCATTTCTAAAAACAAGGAGTCGTTAGTAATGCAACAAATAACAACAATGAAATCAGATTCATAATTAAAATATCTACTATAACTTAAGCTCAATTAACTTTATTATAATTACTTTCGATTATCATATAATTTATGTAAAAGTCAATATTCCAATTTAAGCTGTGATACATTCGTTTACATAGAGATTTCTGAACCAATAAACAAAGGAGATGAGAAACCTCTTTGTTTAATGTCATCAGAATGACTGAAAAAGAGAAACTGATATCGATAGTTACTTATTGCCTGATATTTAAAATTGAATTATATTTTGCACTTATAAACTTACAGAATTAATTTTCTTATAGTAAGACCATTGTTATGAATACATGTGTTGTGGATATTATTGATAAAAGCACATAATATTAATTTAAAGTGTTTTAACTATTATATCAATCATCATGAATCTCGTCCATTTAAAATTAATTTATTTGATAAAATTCTTCTTCCTGCTATAATTATTATTGCTGCTTTTTATTTTCTCTACAAATTTTCCTTATAAAACCCATTTTTTCATTTTTTCTCTCCTCGAGATTAACTAAATAAGATTATATGCAAATTACCTAAATTTTAAGCCTTTTTCAATAGATAATAATAATCTTCAAGGGTTTTCCTTGGACATCCCACCAATTCAGCTGCTTGATCTAATGTAATTCTTACAGTTCTTCCATCTACAACTCTTGTCTCAGTTTCATAAATCTATCTAATTTAGAGTAAGTAAATCTTAAACCTCCACAATTTAACTAGATTCATTGCTTCAAAAACATATCTTTCTTTTGTTCTTGCTCTCGGCTATTATTGCTATTATTATTACTACTACATTAATTTTTTTATATTTTATACAATTTAATATATAACTAAAATTAACATTCATTAATCTACATGATTGTTTTTAGGACTCTTCAGTAATATTTATTTTTTTTAACGCTCAATGTCTTTGGCTAGCATTTATTGTTACTAGAATAATTTCTCTTTATCATCCTTAAATTGTTGTGCCTTTTCTAGTTTCTCCTATAATTTTTTATTTTTTGTTTCCACAATATCTTTAAGTATTTCTGCAGCTTTTTTTTTATGTTCCTTAATCTATTCTTCCTTCTTCTGCCTTTCCTGCTCTTACTTTAATCTAGATAAGGATTAAGTTTCAGTAATAGATTTTAAATGCTCCTCATCCTTTTATCTTAACTTCTCTTGAAATGTTTCATTCTTATTATTTAGAATGTTGCCGTTCTTTGATTTAATCTACTGTTAATTATTTTTAGAGTACATTCTTCCTGTGATTACTTTTATCCTTTTCATATTACTCTATGTTATCTTCTGCCTATTTCATTCTCTCCTATATCAGATTGATCTTCTCTTCAACTTATTATACTTTCAATTAAGCCTTCTCACTTTTTTCAGACATAATTTTCTTATAGTTTTGCTAATTTTCAATAAATGAGAGATCAATACCATAACTTTTTTCAATTTTTCTAACTTTTCCTTTTTCTTCTGTTCTAATAATTCCTGTTTGGTTAATTGATTAAGTTCGATGTCATCTAATTTCTTCTTATATTATTCTATCTTCTATAGTTATTCTTGATAATATGCATTTTTCTCTTCCTCATTTCTCTATTTGATCTTCTTAATTTATTTCTTCTTCGCCAATTTCAACTCATTAAATAGCTATTCTTTTTTGTCATTCAATTCCTTCCACAATTCCTCCTACTCTTTCTAATTCTTATCCAATTGCATTTTTTTGATTAGAATCTCCTCCTATTGAGTTTTGACTATTCCTTCAGCTATTCTAAAATGGATTGCAAGTAATACTTTTTAACATTAGATTTCTTATTTCGATTGGTCAAAATAGTTTCCTCTTTATTTTAATTGCTATTAAGTTACTCCATAAAATCATCCTTTGATATATCATTTTAGGCTAATTCCTTCAAATGTTCTTGTTCTATCTTTTTGATTTTAAGCAACTTCTCCTTCTCTTTCTCTTTCTTCTTCAACTCTATCTGAAAATGATATCGACTCAATGTTACCAATAATTTCTTCTCCTTCAGAGTCTATTCAATTTACTATTGTTTGGATTTGGTCTATTCGATGATGGAGAACTTACGTTTCTCCTATTCTGCTTTTTATTGCTCATACAATTTCAATTACTCCAATTCTCGTTCCTCCATTATAATTGAAGTCATACTTGTTTTTTCCTCATCTTGGCTAACAACTTATCTTCTTAGAAGGCGAGGTATTCATTCTCAACTATGGATAGAGATTGAACTTATACATTAAGCAGCATCAGTTGCTTTTTTCATTTTCATATGGGATTATATATATAAATAAATAATATTATATATATTAATGAATGCTTGGAAATGATATGAGTACACAATTGAGTTCGGTACAGGGTTTGTCTTTGAAATATGACTTTGGCAGTTGAATTTTATATATGCAATTAAATTAATGATGGATAATAGTTATGACCATTGGTTTTCAAAGTATGATCAAGAGTCTTTCGATAAGGATTTCTTCAAAGTTCCATACTATGATTTCCTGAATCAGTTGGTATCATGAATCAGCTTTGTTTAGATTGTTAATCCTGATTTCAACCTGCTTCCCAATGAACCTCAATTGTCATTAGATAATGTGCATAAGGTATTGTAGTAGACATTGCAGAAAAATCACTTGATCATTTCAACCTTCATCTTACCTTTACTCGATAACTCAAAGGAGCCCTTTCTAAGATGGGTGAGGAGTGTGATTGCATTCATTGATTGTGAAAAGATCTATTCCATAATGTTTTGGAATTTGAATTTCATTCCCAATTTCCTCGAATATAGATTGTATGCTAGTTTCATACGTCTCTACAAATTCTTGATTAGTTTGAACTAAAATGTGATTTAACCAAAATCCCTCGCAACCGAATAAATCAGACTGTCAAACAAATTCACAATCAAGACTCTTGCTGAGAGATATCAAGATGCCTTGTATGTGTCCTTTGACGAATTGGCCAAACTTTAAGGACAAATGCTTAAAGTCCTAAAGCCGCTGGTCAGTCAGAATCCTACTCTCATAGGCAAGATTTACTATTTCATCTATCACATGTACGATAAGCCTACTCTGCAACTACTAAAAGATCTTGATTAGCAATTTGGGTAATTGGAAAATCAGTGGGTCAAGAAGATTCTGGCAGAAAATGAATTGGCTAAAAAATATATTGACGCTTATTTAAATGATGACAAATAGGGTGGAGACCAATTTGAATTTGAAGATTCCGAAATCCTAAAATAACTCATGACATCCAATAAATAGGAGAGTCTCTACAAAGTAGATGTGCAAGATAAGTCACTATTAGAAAAGTCAAAGAAGACTTAATTTCTGAATTCCCTAGAGACCAAAGCCAAGAGAAGGAACTATGATGGCAAATCCTCAGTTTTTGTATAAAATTATAGTGCAATTTCTGAATCAACAAAATCATCAACAGAAAATAGATCGAAGATTTATTCTGAGGAAGTATCAAATATCAAATACAATAATATGTAGTCCAATATAACAACAGAACAATACACATTCATTCAATATTCAAACAATAATCTATAGAATTCTGTTGTTGGATTTTTGGCCAGTGATCTTATTCAACTTGAAAAAGAACATTAGTAAGAATTCAAAAATAGTAAATTACACAAAACATTTCAAAATGAGGAATCCATCAAATTAAATGATGATCTAGTAGAATTCATAACAAAGGCAGATGCTTAAATATCTGTTATCAAAGACGAAGACATCTTACTTGGAGATAATTATACAAGGAAAAGATAACGAATTAAAAATAATAAGAATGTTGAAGAAAATGAATCCCCTGATGTTCATAGAAAGTAAACTATGGTCAATTCTAAGTAACAAGAAATTCACGAAGAAGAATTGAGAAAACTTAGAGCCAGGAGATTATTGGCTGAATAAAATCAATTCCATAGTGAGAAATATAGATATACAAGTAATCAAGACAATCAATTAACTACTGATAAAGATTATCTTAGTAAATAATATCATACCAACTTAGGATACTCCTTTGAAGATTCAATGAGTGAGGATGATGAATCTGAGGATGACATTAAACTCAAATCATAATAAGATAAAGTCATTATTCCACAAGACTAATCACTAAACACCTAAGGAATCATATTTGAAAAATTTTAACAATATTCTGGATTATCTATCTAAAGAGGATCTGAAAAGAATAAATATTTCTTAAATAGGCTGTTCCATATGAATGAAAATTCACTAAGAATATCAGGCAAATCTTTAGTTTTAGATTTCGAGGAAAGAAAATGGTAATCATTATTATTAAATCAAGGGAATTTCTAAAATAAAGTATATTACCATAGAATTTAATAAAGGAGGAATGTAGTTTATTTATAAAATTCGTTGTACCAACTAAACATTTCCTAGATAGATAATGTCTATGCATTCTTTTCTTAAAGAGTAAATCTGTAATATACTATAACTTTTGAGTGTTATCATTATCTGAACCATGAAATTAATTATACTGAAATTGTTCCAAGATCAATGTAGTTTAGTTATTAAATTCGTCTTATATTCAGCTTTTGGTATTCTGAAAATGTCATGCATTCTTTTCTTCAACAATAGATCTTTAGTATTTTTATTTATTTGATTGTTATCATCCTAAACCTGAATGAATTATATATTAAAATAAGGATATTATCATGTGATAATTAAATTGAAAAATAGAATTGATAGTTATCTGACAGTAGTTCAAATATCAGCTATTCAATTTCTAAATTTTTCATACTTTCTTTAGACCATCTATTCAAAAGTGATTACAATTTAGGATGAAAAATTTATAATCTTCACTGCTATACTTTCTTTTTATATTCAATCATGAGAAATATTGATGAGTTCAAACCTAAATCAAAATTTCTATCAATTTATTGACAATTAGATATTATATAGAAATGTATTATGAACTTGAAGCTTTATTTTCTATTAAATCATAAAGAATAGAAATGTACCAGCACTTTTCTGTGGAAGCTAAAATTGATAAATTTGTTTATTAAAGTCCTCCCGAAATATTTATTACATGTTTTCTAAAAATAACATTTTCTTATTTAGAAAAGATTATCAGATTAAGATATTTTCTTGATATCTTTTCAAGTATTTCAGAAAGAGAATTTGTCTAAGAATAAAGTCCTTCTATAAGTTTCATATGTTAAAATTTAGATTAAAATGATGCTTTACTTTTTTAAGGCGGGTTTTAATTTATCTAAAAGTTGGTCCTCTGATTACTTCAATTGCTAGTTATTCCATGAGTAATATATTAATCCTTTGCTTCTAATTATTCAAAATTATAAAAAACTTGAAGGACAACCTCAAGACAGATTTAATACTTTGATTTTATCCTCTAAAGCAATTAACTATTCCATAATTTATTGTTATAATTAATCCTTTGTTTAATAAAGATAATTTATTTTATCGAAATGTCATACAGGAAAAGCCTGATCGAGTATATTAAAACTTTTACTTTGATTAACTTTAAATTTGGAAAATAATAAGACCATCTATTCAAAAGTGATTACAATTTAGGATGAAAAATTTATAATCTTCATTGCTATATAAAATTGATCAAAAACTAAATAGTCTCCATAGATTTTCATAAAGTTGAATCCAATTTGTTAATAATGCAAAATAATCGCTAAACCTAATATTTTTAGTTTAAGTTTTATACGTTATTTAAATATGAGAAATTACCAAAGTTCCTGCAGTAATCATAATTTTTTAATAAAGTAATTTAGTATAATGAATAGGTCATTTTATTTTTAAGAAAATTAATAAGGTGATAAACATTTTTTCACTTTTAAGTATAAAATAATCCAGAAGAGCAATACAATTGGCTCGATATAGAATTCTTTTCTTACTATTTATTAACTTTATTTTGGAATCAAAGGTCAATATTATACCCATATTTTTTCAAGTACAATAAGTATTGATTGATAATTTGAATTTAGCCAGTAATCATAAACATATATTTAAAGTTTTGATTTATGTCGAAAAATTAAGGATACTCAAAATCACCAGACGAAACTTGATATTTGAATTTTCTAAAGTTAGTTAATTGGTTAACTTAGCAGAATTTTTTTAAAAAATAATTATTTCATTTTTGTTTTATTTATGTTATAGCAAGAAAAAATTAATCTTAGAGAGGAGAAAAGGAAGAAAGTAAGACATGATAAATTTAAAAGAAAAGTCTAATTTCTTTAATTAGTACTTTGCCAAAACTAGACTATAAAAGATGCAGCCGCAATAAGTAAAGTCAATTTTTCCACAGCGAAATTAGTTCTCAAAAACTTTCGATAATTTGGATACATAAAAAACACAGATAAGGGTATGTTTTTCATGTTTATGAAAGATTATGGGGAGTAACTTGAGTTGCTTAAACAAATATCATCTATCAAATCTGAAATCAAGTAAGAGAAAATAGAGAAGAGAGAAAAGGAGTTTAGAATACTCAGCGATAAAATAAAATCAATATAACCTGCCTTTCGAAAAAAATAATTTTAAAGTGAAAAGGAAATTAATTCTAAACTTGAACACTGTTAACAAGAGCTTGAAAATCTCAAAAAGATATAATTCGTTTTGGTTACATCTGTACTTTAAGAATAAATAAAATTAATGAAGTCAAGTCATAGATGTATTTGAAAAGAATATTGTTTTTTTTCAAAAAAGAAATTTTAATTACCATTTTTAAATTTTTTAAAAATATTTTTATTAATTCATTATAATTAATAAATTAATCAAAAAATTATTGAATAATTTGCGGTTATTTTCTATTGAAATACCACGACAAACTATTTTAAAAAAGGTATAATCAAAATATAAGCCAAATTAAATTAAGTTAATAGATGTCTTATCTACGGTTTTTCAAAAGATATCAAATTAAAAATCTCCATAATAATCTATCTAAAATAAAATTTAAAAAAATGCATTCAATTTATTAAATGTAATAGAATTCACCCGAATATCCCAAATGCTAATTGGAAAAAGCAAGAAATGAGTAGATTCCTTATTCTACATCGAATATTGAATTAGACATTTGATAATTAATAAGAATATACATATTGTAATACTTAATACAACAGCAATCATATTAATAATAATAGATGTATCATTCATTTCTTCCTAAGTATAATTCAAAATCTCTTTGTTTCTGACTTGTTTAAGATATTAAATTATTATTCAATTTAATCAGAGTACGTTTAATTTGCAATTCCAATCCTGATAATTGTGGAGCGAGGGTGATATTTTTTTGTAAGAGTACCAAAGTTCCAAATTTGGATCTTTTATCTGATAAGATAATTTTATTATCAACTAATTTAATATGAGCGTGTTCTCTGCTAACACTGATATCAGCAATACTGATTTCAACTTCATGATTTCTCCCAATTTTGAGTTCTTTTTTTGAACCGAAATTCACAATATACAATCCATTACTATCAGTTGATTGAGGACTTTCATTTTGCCTCTTTTTTTGGAATTCCATGATGATGAATGGTTTATCCTTAGGTTTGCTTAATTCAATTAAGTCGAACTATTTTCCATTCCTCTCAAAAACTGGAGGGTAGACAGACTTACATATTTCACATTCCAAAGATTTCCAGATAAATCTAGTACAGTAGGCATTGCTATTAAAATGAGAGCTTTGCTGAATCCTAATTGAAATAGAATAAGATTCCATACCATTTAAGCAAGCAATTGATATGTACATATTTAGTACTTCCAATGCATTTGCAGGGATCAATCAATGGATTTAGAGTGGATTCCCCCGTAGATAGACAGATTCGACATTGTTTTGTAAATTCATTTTTATCTTCAATTGAACAGATGGATTCTTCATTCAATAAATCTTAATTAGTTTCATGGTGTAATTGAATTTCCTTAATTGTTAATTTAACTCTTCCTAATTTAATCACATCTCCAATCTTGAGCACCAACCCTTCGTTAAGGCTGTTAGTTTAAATAGATCTAGTAACCAACCAGATCTTGGAACCCTTAGGCGATGGCCGATTAGTGTTAGTTCTTAATTTCTGTATATTAAAACTCAATTGAAAGTCAGCGTGAATGGTTTGGTTTTCAGATAAAAGTTTATCTCCTTCCTAATGAGATATCGATGGAGAATGAATACTTCTTTTTGATAGTCTTCTGCAAGTTCTTGAGTTTAGAGTCTCTTGCTGTAGCGTAAATTTACTAATTGGAATGATTCGTTATCATATTCAAGTGGAAGAAGGAGTATTTCATCGCTGTTATCACTAAATATAACCACAACGCTTACTTATTTTTGGAGTAGCTCCCCTCATTATATAAAACTTTATTAGCTTGGCAAGTTAGATAGCTAGTGCCATTAATAGGGATTTGCTGAGAATGAATAAATGTGTTATTCTCATAATCGTAAAGACTGTAAGAATCTTTTTACCAAGTTTTCACATCTAAATTTAATAAAGGAGGTTATTCACAAGGTGCTTACACTTCCTCCTCTGTGTGGTTGTTGATTTGAATTTCTACTTGCTCTTACTCTTATTACAAACAGTTTTGGCAGTTCCCCATATTTTAATATATATAATATATATATATTTGATGTTAAATTAAGATGGAGATTTGAACATATAATCCTTTCGTAATCAAATTCCCAAACCAATGAACATCACTGATGATACCATCAGTCTCGATAATGACATGTTGTTTGGCTGGACACCAAAACTCGATTAGAGTAAATTACTGACACTGAACTTCAATACTCAATTAAACGACTAAATAATATTGGAGGCCTCCCAGAACAAAAAACTAATCTATGTTGGATTTAGACCCCAGGACAACAACTAAATGCATAAATAATATTCATCTCTTTCATCTTACCCATTTAAAAGAGCCACAACAATCCCAAACAAACCACAATTCCCATTTTTAGGAATGAATCCTACCTACTTTAATAGAATTAAATTCAATTCCATTTTCGAGAGTGGCAACTTAGATATCGTGATCTAAGTGTCAGAATTCGAGTATGATTTATATATGAGAGTTGATGGTAACACTTAAGGACACACTTCTTGGTATAATTTTGAATTAAGCGGTTTGAATTAAGGAGAAAAAATACAATTGAATATTTGCAATTTCACTAAATCTCACCGTCTTTATGAAAGAGGAATGAAACCTTATATTTGGAGATCCACAACATAAGAATGGTTATAGGGAGGAGACAATATTTAATATAAATAATTTCAAAATAATAATTGTTTAAGCTTTTGCATTGAATGCAATAAAGAAAATGAACTTCTAAAGATTGCGTATTGTGTTCCATATACATTTTCTTAATTGTTGGAATATTGTGATAATTTAGAGAAGAGATGTAATTATGTCAAACGCAAAATATTTTGCGAGTCATTGGGAGGAGTATAATTACCAATGTTGATTTTTAATAAGGGCAAAAGCACTAGTAAGAAATGCTTGATTCTCTAAGCTCGGATTCATCCTGGCGAATCAAATGGGTCATGGGTAATGTAGGGTGTACTGGATTTTCTATCAAGTTAATCAGCCCTTAAACTTTTTGAGAAGTATCCAAATTCATTAACTATTAAAGATGCGTAATCAAGGTGGTTCCTATGATGAATCCTGATGGAGTTATTCTAGGCAATTATAGAACTGGTTTAGCAGGAAAGGATTTAAACAGGAAGTTCAAATAGACTGATGGAATTCGATTCCCTACTGTCCAAGCAATGAAGAGACTAGTTTACGATTAATACAAGAAATATGGAAGTAATTTAATTGCTTTTATCGATTTACATGGACATTCTAGTATGAATAACATATAAACTAGTCAAAAAGAATGTCTTTTTGTATGGTCCAGAATATACTCTCTAGAATTATAATTATTATAAATGTCGTATTCTACCAAAATTACTTAGTTAGAGAACAGAGATGTTTAGATTTTACTCGTCAATATTCAGAATAAGTTCAAATAAGAGGTCAACTGCTCGAGGTGTATTTGCTCAATTGTATGACATAGTAAATTGTTTTACAATTGAGACTTCGAATGGTAATTACTACAACTAAACTTAAACATTTGATTTCACTTCTAAACATTGGCTAGATATGGGTAGGATTATTGGAGAAACATTAATTGATATGATTAACATTCAGAATGAAATGGATTAAATATATAATACAAAAAGTGATGAGCTTAGTAGATCTTATAGATCAACAAAAAATTAATACTATCTTAAAAAGAAAAGTATCATTGATCCTTGTTAAATATCATTTTAAAATACAAAATTTTCAAAGTTGTTAGAAGAATTAAAGAATGATGCAGATAAAATGATCTAATCTTGTTCTGAAGGTAACTCAGATTCATTAGATGATGATGAGAACGAAGAAGAGGTAATAGAACACTAATCTCAAGAAATTATGAAACCTAAATCTAAATCTAAATCTAACACATCAAAATATTTTATAACATTGTCTCCAGGTTAAAAATCTAAATTAGATTAAAAATGTAGTTCTAAACCATTTTCACAATAAACTAAAATGCATTCTGTTGAATCACATCAAAACAAAACCTAATAACTATGTTAATCACCTACTCCATAAATAAATCTGAAAAAGCTTGTCTCTCGTTCTTAATCCAAAAAAAAAATTGAAATTAATAAATATATCACAAACTATGTGAATCAGCAATTTGACTATATCGATTTACTAGAAAATCCTTCTAATTTAAATTAATCTATACAATAGAAAATCTATGATTTGATTCCTAGACCATCTACATCCTAACTCGAAGGATTGGATGAAGAAACATTCATCCCTATCAAAGGACTTAATTCTTATAATTAATCTGAATCTAAGCGTCACTCTAGATTACATAGTTATCTAACCGTAAATAAATAAAAGAAGCATAGGAATACCACTAAATCACCTCCGTTTAAAAATAGTAAAAATGGAGGAAATACACTTAGGAATAATGCTCAATCTAATTCTACAACCATGAATTCAAAACTTCAGGTGAACCTCTAACAGGAACCAACTAAGAAATTTGATTCTTTTAAATCTTCAAGGCCTTCTGTTCCTGCTTAATTTTATTCTGTAAGAAGACATATGATAAAAAGACTCAAAAATTGATTAATTAATTTTAAATCACTTATAATTAGCATCTCAATAAATCTGGTTAGAATTTCAATTGTTTTTCAGTGATCGCTTGCACTTCCATCATCACTTCTTTAAATCTCTACTCTCCTAACAGGTTTAATAATTCTAAAATTGAGATTATTTATCATACTTTAACAAACTTTGTAATACTTTAATTTGAAATTACACATAGGGAATTCATAGCAACTCACTTCTTTAATCTAATCATCTTCATATAATAGATATAGTTTATCGTAAATGTTATTGTCATATGTGAATCCATACCAACATAACAAGAAACTATTGCCATGTTCCCCAAAAAAATTATAAATTTCTTCGTTTTCTTGAATTTGCTTAGTTGTAATAAACACAAGATCTGTTCCAATGATTTTTTATTTGGTTTAACATTTATCGTGATGATTTAGCATATCCCCAAAAGGAACCAAACAAGGGGATTGAAGATGATCATCTCCACCAAAACATCTTGTCATGACAAATTGATAGGCATATAAAAATTAATCATAATTTAGTCCCTTTTTGAATTGCTCTTTGAAAAATGTTACAAACCTGACAAAATTTAATTGCAAACCAACCCTCATCCTTTAAATTGTTTTCTTTAAGTTTTCATCCATTATGGTATTAACTTATTCTTAAGTCCAAGATAAGATATTTTAGGGATCTTTTACATAATCAAAATATGGCTTATGCAATGACATTTCATTATCTCTTTGTTATAATCTTTAGAATGATGATATATTTTTACATGTATAAAACAAGAGAATTAAATTCAGCATCTTCATTTAAATTAATATTGAATATATGAGGATAGAATTTCTTGTATCTTTGGTAGTGATTTTTCAAGAGATCTTCACTAAATATACACAAATGAAGTGGAATTTTAATTACGATCTTTTACATAAAATTAGCAAAAATACTTGATCTGATGGGATAGGTTGAGTTGCAACAACACCATTGCATCCATGAGTAAGTTCCGCAATTTTTATACTCTCTGTATGAATCCCTTCAGATTCAAACCATTAAAGTAATTAAAACATAATAAAAAAACATTAAACAATTTAATAATATATCAAAGGCATATCTGATAACAGGGAGATAATTAATGATGCAGAGGAGATAACTAATGATGCAAAAGAGATAAACCAATAATATTAAGATGTGAATAAATCATCCATATCATTAATTAAATCCAAACTCTTAAAGTTGAAGTATACTGTTTCTAGTGCTTATAAAATAAGATTAAGAATTTAAATCTACAATTTTATACCAAATGTAGCAGTTAAGTTGTTGAAATATGATAACTGATTGCATAATTAAATTTGATATAGTATAATTAATAGGAAAATTTATAACTTTTGTTTTAATGGTTTTTTGAAGATTGTTTGTAAGGTAGAACTTCTTGTTTATATTATTCCAAACAATTTGAACATGAGCTATTTTATTATTATATGAATATTAATGACATTTAGTAAATTTCCAATTTTATATCTATCTAAATGTTGGTTTATCTATTAAATAGTTTTTTGATTGCTTTACAAATTTAAGGTTAAATGATTGTTTTTATGTGTTAAGAGATTATTTCAGAAATTCAATGAAACCCTAATTCTGAATTTAAAAAAAACTGTTGAGTAGATACATTTTCCAAAGTTATATTATTCTTTTAACACAAATCTTCATTATAGCAATCGTTTGAAATTTCGACATTAAACTAGTTAGGGTATCTTCAATTCAATTTTGTAATTGAAAATTAGGATTCCATCTGATCCATATCAAATAAAACTCAAATTGTAATTCAATTTATTAATGATCAAATAAAGCAGAGCCATTAATTATCATGATACATAGAAATATAAATCATCTAAAGATTTCAAATGAAACTTTATGAATATTATAAAATTTCAATTCTTACTTTATAAATTGAGAATTAATATTTATATGAAATCGTTTTATCTCCAAAAGCCAACTTAAGTTAGAGGCAATTCAGAACCCAAGAAACCAGAAAAGATATAAAATAATCTTAAAATGTCGATTTCCTAAAAGGTGCATGAAAGCTAAACCAAATGGAATGGCCTCATAGCTAAAACAGTCACCCTTGAATAAAACTTATTAAGACTACGTGATTCAGTTAATTAAACACTACGAGGTGGCAGCAAAGAATCAACTTCATCAAAATCAACAGCAGAATAATTACACAAACCACCAACATTAGTTAACATGACTAGCAGAATAGCATCACCAATGTTAAAAAAGGTTTCCCCCCAGGATTGCATGACAATGTCAAGAACATAGAATTATAAGACTGTTCAATCTTGGTTTCCAAAGCAGAGGTTCCAAACATTTGAGGGAATTCCTCAATTTAGGATTGGCAAATTGTTAGGAAGGGGACAATTTTCAGAAGTTCATTAGTGCATGTATTATCAGAACTTAAAATAAGCGACAAATTGACTAGTACAATATATGCTTTGAAGGTGATCAAGAAAGAGAAGATTTAGGATGAATAGTTATAGAAACAAATGATCCAAGAAATTAAAGTGCAAATGGAACTTAATCATCCAAACATAGTTAAGTTGTATAATTGTTACTCTGATGAATTCAATTTGTACTTGTTAATGGAATATTGCAATGATGGTGAACTCTTTAAAGTTCAAAGAAAGTAACCTGGATTTAAGTTCCCAGAAGTAATTGTGCCTTCAATACTTAGAATAAAGCATCATATTATATATACTAAATTCTACAATGCATATAATATATGCATTAAAACAATGTTATGCATCGAGATCTGAAGACAGAGAATATAATGTTATCATTTAATCAAATAAAAATTGGAGATTTCGGTTGTGTTTGTTCAAACCAAGACAGAAGAGAAACCTTTTGTGGAACGATTGAATTCATGGCACCTGAAGTAATTTAAATGAAAGGGTATGATTCCAGAGTGGATGCATGGCAAATAGCTGTGCTTGCATATGAATTAGTTTATGGATAAACTCCATTTATTCTATTGGGCAATAAAGATCAGAGAGGCATCATGGATAACATAATAAAAGTAATCAAAATAGTTATCTCTTTCTTTAGCATCGCTTAACAATTCCTCATACTTTTTCAGCTGAATTAACCTTTTTTGTAAAAGGTGGTCTTCAATCCGATCCAAATAAAAGATTGACAATCGAATAAATGCTTAAACATCCTTGGATAACAAAACATCAACTACCGTAGTCTAAATGTGAATATAACATCTGATAATATAGATAATTAATCGTAGCATCACTCATCCAAATATCAAATCGTATTTTAATTATTGTTTTTATAATTCTATCTGTAAATATAAATAGAATTAATAATTATAATTTTATTTATTCCTTGCCTCTCAAACCAGACTGTTTATTTTCTGTTTTAGTAGTTAACTGCAACTTTATTATTTAAATAATCCACAATTTTATTCTTTGGGGAATAAGAATATAAATGAAATATTAACTGTGTTTTCTGCAAATTTAAAGTCATAAAAAAGTAGTTATTCTTATTGGGTAAATCAAAAATGAGCACTTGTATAAGTTTTAACAAACCAATTATATTCCACTGGATTTATTTGTAAAGAATACTGATGATTTTTAAAATAACTTAGAAATACAATTAATTTTGCAATATAATACTATAAAATCATAACAATTCTGTAATTCCTCAATATGAGATCTTGATTTGGGTAATCATCGCTTGGTGAGGCCATCTGTAATTATCTATAATATCATCAGTAATTATCTATTATATCAACTCATAAAGATGTAATACTACCTATGTGAAGCATTTTAATGATATATTTCTAAAAATTAAAGGTATATAATTAATTAAAACTCTGTATACAAATTATAAATTATAGATATTCAAATCAAATTCATATAAATTTATTATTTAAAAATTGATTTTTGTATTGAATATATTAAACAAATTCTATTAGATCAAATTTTGAAGCTTTGTGATCCATAAATAATAATAAAAAAAATAAAGATGGGATAATAATGTTGTGGAGGTTAATTAGAACCCAACAGCTCATTAAACGATTAACGAACGAAACAGCCGAAGAACACCCTAAATTAATCAGAGAATCACTATTACAATAGTAGTTTGAATAATAAAAAACAAGAAGATATAAAATCTGATGGTATAAAAGAAGCTGAGATAAAAAGTAAGGGCAATTAGAAATCTAGTTCATATAATGATAGTAATAATAATTAATTTGCAATGTAACTTGAGGATAAATCTTACATAGTTTTAGTAGGATAGTCGGGAGTTGGAAAAGATGCATTAATTGAGTTAATGACACTTAAGGGACTTGAAATCAATATTTCAAGAAATTCTAAGGATAATGAACCAAAAATTAAAGAAGGAATTCTTGGTGAAGAATATGTTATTGTTGATACACCGTCTTTTTAATTAGATGATGAGATTGATAAAAGGGAAGCTGTTATTAAGGAATTTTAGGAATATTTTGAGGTTCCAAAATAGATTTCAAGCATTGGGGTAGTTGTAAACTTTGAAAGAACCGATATAATGAAGAAAAAAGTAACATCAGTATTAAAGTACTTAAGAAAATTTAAAAATATCATTTCAATCATAGTTGTAAACATGGAATTAAGTGAAAATGAAGAAGAAGATAAAAATCACTTGAGAAATAGCTTCAAACATATGGAATGCAATAAAATAATATTTATTAACAAATACATGAATTAAGAAGAGATTTTAGAATAATTTATGTAAATTACACCTAAAGAAAAAACAAAAATCGATTTCACCGATACTATTTTTGAAAAGCCTAATATAACAGAGGAGGAGAACTTCTTAAAAATGTTGAATGAACATTTCAGTAATCTGAGGCAACCTTGATTTTTTTCATTTTTTAATTAAATTTAAATCAGTTTTTTTATTCTAAAAAAATGTATGTTTTTATATTATGTACCGAATATTTTAATTGTTTATTATTCAGAGACACAATGTCATTCACATCTGTAGAGGAGTAATTATAAATCTGCAAATTAACATATTTCTATTAACTAATTCTATTAATAATTGATAAAAAACATTCAAACATAATGATAATCACAAGATAATTAAATGGGGAGTTGTTGTGCAATTAAAGGTAAGAAATAGCAACCAGAATAAGAAATCAATTGTGAGTAAGAATAAGAATAAAATAAATAAGAAAAATAAAATATAACATCTCCAAAGGTTGTGGCTGATCCAGGAAGAAAACAACATGATCACAAAATGGGCTAGTTTTTAAATATGGATCATAAAAGCCCTGAATAGTAGCCTGAATTAGATAATTAGGTTGAATTACAAAAAAAAAAAATAGAACCTAATAATTAACAAAAACACATTAAATAAGAAGAGTAAAATATAGCATCTCAAAAAGTAGTGCCAGAACCAATAAGATAAAAAGATTCAAAATAATAGATAGATCCCATTTATGTAATTCTGCTTGGTACAGCAGGAGTTGGAAAAAGCAGTTTCTTTAGATAAATGGAATTATCAAATATTTCAAATGAAACCGCAACTAGCATTTCAAACTATCATGTAGGTAGTTTAGATAAATAATATTATTTTGTGGACACACCATCATTTTAATTAGATGACGATATCGATTAAAGAGAAGCTTTTATTAAGGAATTTTAAAATTATTTTGATAATAGAAAAGATATTTCCAGTTTTGGAATTATTGTAAACTTTGAAAGAACTGATTTAATGAAGAAAAAGGTATTATCAGTATTAAAGTACTTAAGAAAATTTAAAAATATCATTTCAATCATAGTTGTAAACATGGAATTAAGCGAAAATGAAGAAGGAGATAAAAGTCATTTGAGAAATAGTTTCAAATATATGGACTGTAATTAAATAATATTTATTAATAAAAATATGAAATAAGAAGACATTTTAAAAGAAATTAAGTAAATTAATTTTATACAAACCTAAATTGACTTCACTGATACCATTTTTGAAAAGATAACACAAAGCGAAGAAAATGAATAATTGCGAACTTTAAATCTTAAAATAGCATAACAAATCTAATGATTAAATTTTCATGTTTTTTATTCATTATATCTTAAATCACAAAGAATTTTTATTTATTATACCTTAAATCATAAAAAATTCCTTGTTTGAGATCTTCAACTTAGAATCTCATGACAGATTATCAAAATTAGGGAGGATATAGATGAAAAATCTTTGTTGTTCCACTAATTAAACTAGTTGCCCCTTATAAATTAAAAGTAATTCATAATAATATTGATTTTTTTCATAATGCATTATATATTAATAGTAATAGGGCTCTGCTTGTGCAGAGGTAATTTATGATACAGTTGATATTACTTCAATGATGGTTTTAATCCACTCGCTTTTGTAGAACAAGATTTGCTACAAATATTGGTGATATGAGTTACAGAAAATTCAAAGATGCTTTAGAGTTTCTGTTTGAAAATCATATTATATAGAAGTGCCTATTTTGGGAAGTATGAAGCAGTTAAGGAAAACTTTAAACATCCATTGTGCAAAATTCATTGTTGCTTAATCATCACTGGTACAACTTAAGTCATCGCCTATCAATAATAAAAATTAGAAACGTCGTTTTAAGAGTTAATTCCAATAAAATTTAATTTTGCAACTTAAAAATGAATGGAATTATTATGGGAAATATGTAAATTTGTTAGAATTAAACAATGAAACTAAAGGAGGAAATAATATCTCTTTTGATTGAGGATATTAGAAAGTAAAGAGAGTTTGTAAATATTTATATTGATAAATAATTAAATAATGTATTCAATTACAGCTCGTTTTAATTAGATCGTGTTCTTCACATCATGGACATTAGGTACGTTACTAATTCTAGATAAGTCGTTCTATCATTGCTGAATTAGGGCACAGCATATTTTTTTAAGACTGGAAAGCCAACAGTAGATCTAAAGATCTTAAGTGCAGATAAATTGTATCAAAGATAAAATGATTATTTTGTTTAGTCAACATTACAAGGCCACTTATTATAATGGAGGTGCAACTGATTGGGATTAGGTGACATTTAAATTCTCCTTGGAGGCAGGTTTTTGATACACGTATAATATTTAGATTTTGAGCCTGTGTACAATTGGAATTTAAAGTAATTGTTTTTGTATGTGAATGTCCATCATGAGCATTAATAGAAAGGAGTATGCTTATTTTATCGAAGTATTAGTATGAATCAGATTGTGTGATATATGATAAAATCATTTCTAGACCAGATGACCCCAGCAGTTGGAGCACTTCATCAAAGGTAAATCTATTAGTCATTTTAGCTTGTTCTGAAAAATTAAAGAGCAGAATATCCACTCAAAGATATTCATAAATAGCTGCGTAATGCTACAGTGAATTTTGAAGTCTGGATAGAGGTGATGCCATACGTTGGTTACATAAGGAGAGAGAAACTGGGTGATTTCGAATATAAAATGCCTTAATAGTATAATTGAGATGTGTAATTTATATTTTTAACAATCACATTTTTTGAATGTCTTGTATTGATTAGAGCTTTGCACAATTTTAACAAACAGCTTAGTTCTTTAATCCAGATATTGGGAACAATGGAACTTTGAGAATGCCATAGAAAATAAAAAAAAGGGAAATCTCGATGCCTTCTTATTACTTTGATGACTTTAAGGGATTTCTCAAGCAACCTATTAAGATAACCACCAATATCACATAAAGACGCAATACTCATACGACAACAACTCAAGACAATAGCCAAATGACTCAATCTATTAAGTTACCAAATAAAAGCTTGAAATAATTGACCTAAGCAAATGCTTAAGACTATTCAAAAATACTCAGTATTATTAGTTAATTCAATAATACTAATAAACTGAAACATGCATAGAGTGCGAATTCAATGCAATATAAATTGATTATCCCTTTAAAGGAGAAATCAATGAATATTACAAGGGAGAGCAGAACTAATTCAAGATGTAGTGTTGTATCAGCTTAAGGGGAAAGAAAGCGTAGTATAAAAGTAAATGATCCGTATGGACTAATTAATAATAAAATAATGAACAAAACAAATTCGAAATAATTCTTAAAATAAAAAGCTTAAGACAAATTAGTAGACAAGTTATTCTCATAAAGATCAGATAGCGTTTAATGATTATTTATCCATAGATGCTTATTACATGTCTTTTTTTATTAATAATTATTATAATATGTTTAGAAAAATATTTCGACTATTCAGATTTTCGACAGATAAACAAGTAGACTATTACAAATTGACAGATCAAATTATGAATGCCCAAGTTGAAAATGAAGAGTTGAAATTAGCCATATAGAAAATCATTTTTGATATGAAATCTGTGACTGAAAGGGCCTATTAATTTCCTTTGGTTGAATAGGTGTTATCTTCAGTCAAATCTCATTATTTATGTGTTGCTGCAGTGGAATAATTTGTTGGATCTATGTGTATAGATATAAGTTTAATTTTAGTTAGACACTCCAAAAAATGAGCAAATTACATAATTATTTTTAACTCATGCAAAAAAGAATGCTGTTGATGAGCCTGAAAAATTGAATACTGAATATTATTTGTCATATCTGAAAAAACTAGATGCATCACAAAAAGGAGATCAAGCCAAATTTGATGATGCCCAACACCAACTATTAGAATTAGCAAATAAGGGGAATAAACCAGCTTAACATTTAGTGGCCAAGGAAATGTATAAAGTAGCAATGAATATGATGCAATCAAAATAAAGAAAAGATAGAGAGAAATTATTAAAGGAAGCATATAAATTATTTTATGATTGCGCTGAGAATGAATTCCCCCATTCTTACTATTATATTGGAGAGATGGCAGAAAGAGGTGATACTCCAGGAGGAATAGATTTGAAATTTGCACTTGAGTGCTATTTCATTGCTGCAGCTTATGAAAACCCTTAGGCATTCTTTAAATTAGCAAAATTGTAAATTCTAAGTTATTTTATTATTAGTCATCGAGAGGGAATAGTTTGCGAGAAGGATCACAATTTAGAATTCCATTACACCAAGAAAGCAGCTGAAATGGGGCTACTAGATGCTTAACACAATCTAGGTGTCATATACAGAGAAGGCAGAATAACGAAGAAGGATGACTTTAAGGCTTTGGCATGGTTTACTCATGCTGGAAACTTGGGATTCCCATTATCTTAGGTATGAAAATATCGGATACATGTAGTTTAATGCTGGAATGATGTATTGGGAAGGTGCAGATAAGATCAAAACAAATAAAAAGGCAGCCTTAGTTTGGTTTGAGAAGATACAAAAATCGGGAATGATTGATGTTTCTTAATAAATTAGACAATTGGCAAGGGAGATTCAGAAGGAAATAGAAGAAGAATAATGATGTTATATATATATATTAAATATTAAATATTTGATTCACATAGGAGGAGTTAGACATGTTTAATTTAAAACTAATCTTTACATCTAACTATGCTAATTTGGTAAGAAAGTTGAGTAGATTTCCTTGGCTTTAGAATGACATTTGCTTGCTTTGTCTACATCTCCTTATGCTTGATAGATCACAGATATATTATTAAGAATTTAGGCTCGTTACACACAATTTTACCTAAATAAATTTTGAGATATACTGAAAGCATTATAATGCTTAGATAAAATAGTTGAGTGATTGTTGTATATCAGGTACTAATCCATAGCTCAGTCCTAAAAGATTGAATACTTCAACAAATTTAAGATGCTTGTAATCTTTGTATATTTGATATTTTATTTTAACAGCCTTCATCAGAAATTCGATAGCTTCCTCTGAATTTTTAGAAATATAGCTGCATTCGCCTAATGCAACATAAGCTTCAGCTATTTATTCATGATCCTCTGGAAGGAACTCTTTTAGGAGGGCTATTGATCCATAGATTAATTTTTTTGATAAATCAAAATTTTCTATGGTTTAATTAATAAGTACTTGTCCAAGCATGTAATTTTGCCATCAGAAGCAATATATGAGCTATTTCAGATTTCCATTCCAATTTTTCGTAATGCTAGAGAGCCATATAATATGAAGATTGAGCACTCTAATAGGCTTGATTTAGAAAGTGCAACTTTCCCAATTCTATAAGAATTTTTCCAACTAAATTTGGTTCTAATATCTTGAATTATTTCTAGATAGCCTTCAACTATTTGATAGCATTTTTGAAATCCCCTACCTACTTATAGAATCTGGTCAATAAACACATGGTTCTAACAGTCTATATTGCCTAACTGAATAAATGGTTGCAATCTAGAATGCTTTCTTTCATTGACTGTTAGAGCTAAGCGTTGATTTTCTTCAAGATTTTAATGTTGTTATAACAATCACCTGTATCTGCATTCGTTTCTATTTCATCCAATTGTTGGGAGATGGTTTTTTGAGGGGCAGGTTCTTCTTTCTATGGAATTGAATGATGAGTTTATTGGGGAGACAATTCTTGGTTGACGACAACTGGCTTGACTATTTCACTTTTGACTTTGGGAGGGGAAAAGCCAAGTGCTTTGGAATGGTTTAGCATTTATAATTGATCTCGTTATGAAATTACAGCAATTTCATCTAAATCTTTGCGTTAATCATTTTATTGAATCAGAGGATGTTTAACTATTGAATTGCTCATAGAGGGTAATCCAGAACTTTACTTAGAATTATTCTCTAACTAATTTGATCAATTTCCTTACTTAATTATATGAATTGGCTCTAGTTTTGACCTCCACAACATATCCGTTCATCACATCTTATCTGATTCTCTACAACAACCCATTAAGTTGATCGTCTCTCCTGAGTGTTTCTTGGTCAATTCTGTCGTAGCCTGTTGCCATTAAAAAATAATAATAATTATGCAAATGTGTGATTTGGCATGTTTAAATATATGATGAATTAAAACAGAATCACAAAATCAATATACAATTCCTTATAATTTTGTAAAATTCCCAATAGAAATGTTGTATCTCCCTCCCTATTATTTGTAATGTCTTCTTTCTGTGCTTTGGTTTTGCTCAGTCTTTAGAAATTACTTAGCATTGTAAGTTTTGGTCATGAGAACTCTAGGAGTAACGCTTCCACCGCTCTTCACGCTTTCTGGCACATTGATGTACTACAAACTTAAGTGAGTTTTGATATGAATTTTTTTCATCCAGATATGTGATTTAATCATGTACAAAGAATAACGATGCTCTGGTCGAATTTCAAGCATTTTCTTTAACAAATTCAGCCCTTCAGCCTTGAGATGGAGATTCTGAAAGTTAATCTCCCCTTTTTCATTAAGTTAAAAAATTTGATCAGTATTCTTCCCTTAAAATGGTCTTCTCCCTGTTATGAGAGTATAAAACACTACTCCCAAACTGTATACGTCTACCTTATAATCATAAGGTTGACCCATCAAGATTTCTGGAGCTGCATATCCAGGTGTACCACATTATTTATATAAGTAATTGCCATCTAAATTATAAAAATCTGCCAATCCGAAATCAGATATAACTAAATCTTCTACATTATCTTGGCTTCTAAGGATGATGTTCTCTGGTTTAATGTCTCTATGGATGACTCCTTGGGAATGGATGAATTATAATGCACTCACCAATTGAGATATCACTGAATGCACTTTTCGTTCTGATAATTGACCTACTCTAGCAATATAATCATGTAAGTCTCCTCCTCTCAAATATTCCTACACAACGAATACGTAACTCACTGTTTCGAATGTCTCTATTAAGGTCATTACTTATTTATGTCTCATTAAACGAAGGATCTTTAATTCCTTTTAGAGCGATTATAAATTTTTTGGACTCTTCGAAATCTAATTCTTATCAAAACACTTTATAGCAAATTGTTCATTTGTCTTTGCATTTTCTGCCAAAAAAACCTAGCAATAATCAAATCAGTACTTACATTAGCAAATGTACCTTTTGCCATCATTTTTTTCACCTTATATTTTAATACAAAGTCTATCTGGATGCACTATTTCTTCAATACACTAAACAGTTCAGTTACATCCCCATAAAGTTCTAACCATGTTATTCCCTTTAGTATTTTTACTCCCACCTCGTTAGTACCATCTCTAATCAAGTAAATTATAGCATTTTCTATGTTGGCAATAAGTTATTTCTGCCTCATAATAAAATTTGTACATCTCCCTATAGAATTATCAAGTATGAGAATTTGACCTTGACAAATACATTGCTCATGATTTCTCCCATTTTTGCTTGGAAGATACCCTCAAAACTCACATTACTAAAGTGCTCTACTTTACAGTCATCCCAAAAGGAAGTTGAATGGCTGTGAAATAGGGATTTGAATTGAGAGGTTTTATTAATCATTTTATTAATTATTGATCTTTTATTAATTATTTGGTCATTTATTAATTTTCACCCATCTAATCTTAATAATAACATATCATATCTAATATCTGATTAATATTATTATCAATAGTACTCATATTATTAGAATATATAAATATATTTTATATCATTCTTTAATGTTTTCCTCTTAAATCTCATCTCTACTTTGCTGATAAGCCATCAAACAGTTATACATCTCCATAACATCCTGAATGAATATACCTTGATATCAATATTAATTATAAACTGAACAAATTTAAATCATGAAATTCTATTCATCAAATTCAATGCAATCATTGCTCTATGAGAAGATGCATTATTCTTTACTCATCAATTTTGAAGAACAGAATTTAATTAAGATAACTCAAATTTAATATCATTATTCAATTTTAGTAAAGCTTAATAGACTAGGTCATTAATTAATCTATTGATAAAAGAATGAGTTCATCAAAAATTGATTAAATATATAGTTTATCATTCTCTTCTATGTATTGAGAATCCATTGGATGGATCAACTAAAATTTCATTTCCTTCTTCATAGTGGGCTCCCTCGAATTAATTTAATGTTTATTCATAACGTTGATCGGGATTGATTTCTAGGGAATTAAAAGATAAAGTACCTTCCTCTACATTCATTTCTGGATAAAATGATTAAGGCAAATCATGAAAACCAATGCCAGGAACAGGTTCAATGGATTTGAGATACCCATATATTTTCTCTACGATTCTTTGGAGTTCTTCCTTCTTATTCTTGTTTTCTACATTTTGTTTTATTGGGAAATGCAATTTGTAGTCTGGAGCATAATATTCATAATAGATTTCAGAAGTGGGAATAGGAGCATCAATCTTTTTGTTTAAACACAATCCAGTCTCATATGCCCAACATCTAGCTACATTTTAGATTGTATATCCTCCTCCTCCTAATACCAAGATGGGCACATTGTATTTAATCATGAATTCAACACAAGCACCATGACCTTTTGTTGATAAATTATATCCTCCCAATCTATCATGACATAGTGAATCAGCTCCACATTACAGGACTACAGCCTCTGGTCTATAGATATCCATAACTTAGGTGATGATTTTCTGGAATATTTCTGTGAAGGTCTCATCATTCATACCAATTTTCAAAGGGATATTGAGAGCATGATATCGACCTAATCCTTCTCCATAACTGTCAATATCTCCTGAGCCTGGAAAGAAATCATCTCCATATTGATGGAATGAACAAGTCATCACTCTATTTGTGAGAAGAAATGCCTCTTCAACTCCATCTCCATGATGAACATCGATATCAACATACAAAACTCTCTGGTGTACTCTCAACAATTCCAATATGGCTATCACAATGTCATTCACATAACAGAATCCCACTGGCCTCTCTTTTCTTGGCATGATGCAAACCTCCTGAATAATTAATGGCTATTTCTGCATCTTATGAAATCAACACATGAGCAGCATCAATTGATCCTCCTGCAGACAATTGGCAAAAGTCATATAGACCTGGAAAGCTGGGGTTATCAGTGGAGTCTCCTACTCTGAAACTATTTGGTTATGGATAATTATTATTTGTCTCGATGGGCTCATGAGTATGTGGTATATTATAATCTAACAAATCAAACTCGTTGTAGATGTGGCTTGTAAAGTGAGTGATATTTGGCTGTTGATTATAGTGTTGATACTCATTCACAATTTGACTTCTAACACTTGTGAACTGACTCAAATATTGCAAATATTCTGGCTCATGAAATTTCTCCATCTCTTTCAATGAAGCCTACCGATTCATATATACATCCAGGTTTCGGTACAAACTAACTCATGTTTATAATACATTACCCATAATTAACAATTAAATTATGCGCCATTGCAATTCTTTTTGGTTTCATTGGATGTTCCTTACCATAATGATATCTCCCTATTTGGGGATGATAAAAATAGGCCACTCTTTTATTAGTCTCATTTTGCATTACTATAAAATAAATTATTAAGAGATTTCATATATGTATATATATATAATATTCATAGTATGTACTTATTAACAAGATATTCTAATTTTTGTATATCAGTGGGTTTGGAGATACGCTCTTTCATACCACATTGACTAGCAATCAGAACATCATCATCTCCTGAATAGGCTGAATACATTGTTATAATACAACTTTCATTCAAATTTCGCTCCTTTAATAATTAATTTATCTATATATTAACACTCTTACTTCTTTAGAGGCCTAAAATCCATTTTTACCAGGCATTTCAATGTCCATAAAAATTAATCGGTAAGTCTTGCAACATTGTTATGAAAATCTCTATTTGACTAAGTCGATTGCTGAATTACCATTGTAAGCACTGTCAGTTTTCACTTTGAACTTCTTAAGCAAAACTTACAAGGCAAAATGGTTGCAGCTGATATCATCAACGATCAAAATCTTGCTACAATCACAATCTGAAATCTGAGTGATTTCGTGTTTGTCGAATTCGAACTCATTGGAGTAATTGTGGATTTGATTTGACACTCTGAAACTGACTTTTGTATATCTGTCATAAACGGAATCAATCTCAAAAAACTGATCCTTATATAGAAATTTGGCTAGCTATTATGAGATCCTAAGTCCTAGCCCAAGTTTGTTAGAATCATAGTGAAGTGAGTCTTGGAATAATAATTCTGCTTATTACTCAATTTTCTGGATGACTTCTTCTGAAATGCCCTATCCATCATCTTCAATTGATAACTTATAGTAAAGAGGAGTCGTTTGAGTAATTAATTTGATAGTGCCTCCCTTGTTTGTGAATTTGACAGAGTTATCCAATAAATTTATGAAAATTCTAATCAGTCTTTCTTTGTCTGTATAAATTGAGATATGACTTACATTTTCAATGATGAGATTGATGTTCTTTTAGACACACTCAAAATTAAAAAGTTCATATAGTAATTAATAAACTTCCTATAACTTGAAACAGGACTTATTCAAAATCAAAGCTGAACATTAAATTTGAGCATAATCTAAGATATCATTGAGTTGGAATTGCAACCTCTTGGCTGATACAATGGCAGGATCCAAATGAGATTCAATCAAACTCTAAGACAATTGATCCTTCAATGCATACAACTAAGACACTGTCCCATTGATCGGAGTTCGCAGCTCATGACATAAAGAATTAAGCAAGGCCTATTGAAACTTGTACTTATGATTCAGCAATCTATATTCTTCTCTCTTGGTGATGTTCTCCAAAAAGAACAAATAAACCACAGACTCCCATTACACAAAACCTTCCAATTGAAATATTTTGAGTTTCAAACTCTTATACTTGATCTTCCCACCAGATTTATTCATATTATCCATTCTGATTATGTATTGAAAGTTATCACGAGACAAAGATGTTAATTAACTTTGGTGGATTTTCTTGAAATTCTAAAATATAGACTTAAGGTTTTTCCCTATATTGGCATCACTCTCCCCTTTAAATTAAGAGGCATTGTTGTTGTATTATGAGAATGCATCTTGAATGTGTTCTTCTAAGAATATTTTTTATGGACTAATTGAAGGTTAATTTTGAAATGTCTTTTTTCTGGGTGATTTTTAAGGTTTTCTGACTTTCTTAGATGATCTAAATTCACAAAAGTCTCCGCTTTAATAATCTATTAACATTACCTTTAAATAGCTTAATCTAAGAATGCAATTATATCACAAGGATTAGTTAAACCTAGTAGTTAGGTTACTTTTTGATTAAAATCTAAAACTTTTAAGGATTAATCTACAAACAGTATACCAAAAGGCAGATTATTCAAAATTGAGACTATTTCTGAATACTTAGTACTAGTATTTCTTTCAAATTTTAAAGGCTCCATATTATAATTGGAATCTGATAAAAGGGTTGTTGGTAAGTTGTTTGGATGTTTTTTTATGATGATTCTTTGATCCATTTGGTCTTTGTTAATGCCTATGTATCTGTGCTCTTGTTGAGGAGTTTCAATATCTCCATTAAAAGCTTTTAGAATGATGCTCTCATTCAGATCATATTTAATGAAATCTCTTTTACTTTCGCTTGATAATAACTAATCTTATTCAAATTATGTCTATTTAAATTTTTATTCTTATTAAACGAGGGTTTAAGTGAACGAAGAGCACTTGACACTAGTCATTTAATGTATGATGTAATGATTGATTGGTTACAAGGAGATCATGATCAGAAGTGTATGTAAGTCATAACTATTTTAGGTAAATGAAACTCTAATAGTAACATATAGTAGTTAAAAGTGGACAATCAATCTAGTGGATAGGTTTTGTGAGTATGTATTGAATAATATTAGTGCTGTGTATGCAAAGTAAGCAACATTGGCATAGTTAATCTTTTGTTAAAATGGTATTTCTGAATTTATTGCACATAATCCAAAGAGGCCCACTTTTAAATATTTAATTGATAATTTGCAGTAATCAAGTATGACGAGTATTAGCCCAATACTTAGAGATATTACATTTAAGTAAATGGTTATCAAATGGCTATCCTACCGAACAAATGCTATATCAATGATGTCCTTGACTATTAATTAGAGTATCAATAATTTTATAAGTACTTCCATTTATTAATAAATTTAATCATAATAAATATTTATCAAGTAATTGTTTAAGTTATTTTTACTCTATTGGCTTTGGTAATATCTCTTTTATGCCACAATTCCTTAAACTATCATTATTTTCATTCCCATTGTAAGCAGAACACATCACAATAGCACATTAATCATTCATATTTTACTGCGTCATGATCTCAGTGATCTATAGATATATTATCATATTGATTACATCTTTTGAAGCCTAATAGCCATTCTTGACAGGCATTTCTATGTCCATGAAAATTAGCTTATAAGTTTTACAACAAGGAGACTACAATTTTTATTCAATTTTTTCAATTGCCTATTAACCATTATACGCACTATCCATCTTCATTTTATGTTATGATAATAGAGCCTCAATGGCACTATGATTGAATCTTACGTCATCCACGATCAAGATTTGAGTGCAATTACAACTGATTGTGATGTTGCATCCATAGAATGATGGAAACTTCTACTAGCTAATAAGTTTTTGCTGATTTTCTATCTTGAATGATATTCTTGTATACTCATTCTCAGTGCTCTCTATAATCAACTCGTTATTGTAACATAGAAATTTAGCTATTTATTGGGAGATCTTCAATCCTAGACCTAATTTTGTTTATTAGAATAATTGTGAATCATAAAATTGCACATCATCCCTGTTTTTAATTTGATATAGAGTCTTCTCTGACATGCCAACCCCATTATCTTCCACTTAGAATATTATGCGAGATTCTTGATCAGAAACATTCACTTAGATGGAACCACACTAATTCGTAAATTTAATTGAATTATCTATCAAATTCACCAAAATTCTAAGGATTCTTTCTTTATCACTATTGATCATGTAATTAGTCTTGGATTTCAATTAAAAGTCTAACTATTTCTCCTTGCATTCCTATTCAAACAACTCCTTCAAAATTTCAAAGATTTCACTTAACTCAAATTGGGAATTACTCAAGTGGAAGTTCCTACAATCAATTTAAGCATAATCCAAAATGTCATTTAATTAAAACATCAGCTTTTTGGCTGATATAATGGCTGGTTACAAATTCTTATCTCTTATATTGGGAGCAATCAATGTCGACAATGCATTTAACTGTGACAATGTACTATTCATTGGAGTCCTTAATTCATGACACAAGGAATTTAAAAGTGCCTATTGGTACTTGTATCTAATGTTCAACTACCGTAATTCTTCCTTATTCGTGATATTTTCAATCAAAAAGAGATAGTATATTTTATTATTAATCTCAATCTCATATACTTTAATCCTTAAATAGTATTTCATAGTCCCAACATCCTAAATGATCTTAATTATCTGAATGTTTTATCCTATTGATTGCACAGAATTATCCACATTGTTTGTAAGAGAAGAAGACTTTTAGGCAAATTTAGTGAACAACAAATTCAAATTTTTGAATCTGCTCTTTGTTGTCATTAATTCATCCTTGATCTGGTTATTTGGATTAGAAGAAAAGCCAATATTGTTATTTAAATTGGTGTTGGTGCCTCCCTCTGGATTGTGAACAGAGTTTTGCTCATTTAAACTCCTTGATATTAGAGACAACTATGGAACCTTGGGGAACCTCTTGCTCTAACGGTTACTCTGATTTGAACCTACTTACTTGATGGATTTGCTCTCCCAGGATTCGCAACTATTTTCATAAATGGATATTACCTTTCTAATAATGAATCTAGATTTAAAATGATGTTTCTTCCATCATTATCCGACACTTTTAAAAACTATAATAATTTTTAATTATTTATCACCATCTCACATTGACTATTCATAAGTCCTATGCCAAATGGCAGCAAATTCCATATTTGAGGTAGGTCTAAAGTATTAGTTGATTTCTGCAAGTCTGAGCCTTTGAATGAGAGATTATTCATGAGATTCTCCTTGTCTTGCACAAAGGGATTCTTTAAATCCAATTGCTTCAACTAATTCAAATTATGTTGGATGTTTAAACTTCTCAAAATGCTGCTGCACTATTCATCCTGTTCCGACTGATCCTTCACTAGTTATGGAATTTACTCGATGTTGTATTTGCTCATATCCTGCAGATGCTTCTTTGACTCAATCCGATCTTCCTCTTTCTTCAGATGTAACATCCAATGATTCAAAGGTTACCACAAAAAGCACGTCAACAATTCGGTTATGTATAATTGTTCCTTATATTGTATGAAGGTTCTGACAAAAAAGTATACCAAGATTGAGTGCTTCATAAACTTATGCCATTTTTCAGCATCCTCGAATTGCGTAATCAGAAGAGCTATGAAAGTCCCCAATTGCAGCATATTTATCTAAGGGATATCATTGTAGATGAACTCTATATTTAGAACGCACAACAAAGATGCACCGATATTATTCGCATAAATATTTTGTTTTTTAAGTGTCTCCATAACCAATAATAAAACTGAAATTGCTAAAGAAATTGAACTAATAATTGTGTATTGCAGTGAGTAATTCTTATTCATGATGATGTCCACAAGAACAAAAGTGTTTTTTATTGAAAATTGCACATATAAGTAACTTGTATAAATTAGCATTTTAAAATAAATATATCACTATCTTAACAATCTCTCTAGTAGATAATATATTTTATATAATAATAACCAACAAAAATATTATTTTAATTTGTATGACTAATAGGTCTCAGGGATATGTACAATTAATAGATTAATATGTTGAATCTTTATGGTGATTTAATTGTTTGACAGAGGGAAAAATGAGCAATATGAAATTCTCAACCCTTCCTGGAAATTGACACAGAATCTTTTTAGAATTTGATTATAAGAAAAATCCAGATGGATAAATAGTTATATGAGTTGAATATGTTTATTTAGATTCTATAATAAAAATGAATATTGGCTGGATTGGAACAGGTGTAATGGGGGTCTCTATGTGCAGACATATTCTTAAGGCTGGTCATAAATTGCGCATATACAACAGGACAGTTACTAAGACATAACCTCTCGTTGAAGCAGGAGCAGAATTTGTTCAACCAAGAGAATTGGCAAAGCATTCAGATGCTGTTTTTTTAATGTTGGGATATCCTAAGGATGTTGAATAAGTAGTTTTAGGAGATCAAGGAATATTAAATCATATGAAAAAGGGGACTGTTTTAGTTGATCACACTACTTCATCACCTGAATTGGCAGAGAGGATTTTCAAGTAGGCGAATGAGAGGGGAGTAGAATCTATTGATGCTCCAGTAAGTGGAGGAGACATAGGGGCTAGAGAGGGAAGATTGGTGGTGATGTGTGGAGGATAATAGAAAGCTTTGGATAGAATAAGTGATATATTAAAAGTGTATAGTGCAAATGTTTAATTGATGGGAGGTGCTGGTTTAGGGTAGCATACTAAGATGGTTAATCAGATAGTGTTGGCTGGGAATATGATAGGGACAGTCGAAGGTTTGTTGTATGGACACAAATGCGGATTGAATTTGGAATAGTTGATTAATACAATAAAGAGTGGAGCAGCCAATTCGACAGCTTGGAGTGTGTTGGGATTGAGAATGGTGAAGGGAGACTTTGAGCCTGGATTTTATGTTGAGCATTTCATTAAGGATTTGAGCATAGCGATTAATGAGGCCAATAGGTTGAACTTGAGTTTACCAGGGTTGGCTTTGGTAAAGCAGTTGTATCATGCTTTGGTTGCCCAAGGGGGAGCACGTTATGGAACTTAGGCATTGCTATTGGCATTGGAGACTTTGAATAACCATAAAATTAGATGATTGATTATTTTAATATAAATTCTGTTATGCCAAAACTCTATACATTCAAGGACCCTAATTTCAACCCTCTTTAGAATTATGTAGTGGATAAAACTTTAGGATAAGGAACCTTTGGAAAAGTGAAGTTGGGAATTCACAAATGCACCAATGAGAAAGTATTTAATAACTTCAATTTACAAAGGTAGCAATCAAAATTCTGGAGAAGGAGAAAATAGAAAATGAGGCTGACTATGTGAGGATTCAACGCGAAATTCACATTCTCCGTAAAATACGTCATCCGAACATCATTTAATTATATGAGGTATGTGATTGAGTTATAAGAGATCATCGAGAGTGAAATAAAATTATATCTCATAACTGAATACGCCCCAGGAGGAGAGTTATTTGAACATATCGTTTCGAAATCTCGACTTGAAGAGCGTGAAGCTGGTCGTATATTCTTTTAACTTCTGAATGCCATAGAATACATACATCAATTAGGCATTGTGCACAGAGATCTGAAGCCAGAGAACATCCTGTTGGATTCCAATAAGCAAGTCAAGGTAGTCGATTTCGGATTATCGAATCTCTATCAACCAAATCAAAAATTGCATACTCCCTGTGGCAGTCCTTGTTATGCTGCACCTGAGATGGTCAGTGGTTTGCCATATGAAGGATTGAAAACCGATATCTGGTCATGTGGCATAATCTTGTATGCAATGATTTGTGGGTATTCTATTTCCCTCAACTTTAGTTGTGTCCCTTTCGAAGATCAAAATACCAAATAACTCTACGAAAAGATCAAACACTCAGATTACAAACTACCCAAAAGTGTCTCTCCTTAAGCAGCTGATCTCCTTCGAAAAATTCTCCAGAAAGACCCTTCCAAAAGGATCACAATACCTGAAATTAGATAACATGATTTCATTCAATTCGCTGGCAAAATGACCATCCCTGAAGGAGTAAACACTAAGTATTATCAATAGAGTATCTAGATTGGACAATTTCAAAATAGACGTTGATTACACTATTCTTCAATTGTTGCTCCAATATAACATCTCGGAAGAAGAAGTTGTATAAATGATCAAAAACAACAAACACAATTGCATCACCACTTGTTACTATCTCCTCAAACTCAAACAACAAAGAGAAAAGTTAATCAAACCTGAAGTTGCTCCCAAATCAATTTCTATTGAAAAATAGAATTTATTTAATAAAACCCAATAAATTGAACAACAGAAGTCCTCCCCTCTAGTCAAATAGAAACTGTACTCACAACAACAGCATTCCCAACCTTATAGTTAAGATGTGCAATAATAAATCTTATTGCATCTCCTTTAAAATCAACAACAACAACAACAACTACTAATCCAATAATAAGCATCACAACCCAAAGAAGTTAAATAACCCCAAGTCTCTAAAGTAGCAGAAACTGGAGGCTCTTCATCCATGGAAATGTTTTTAAACAAAGCCTTTTCAGATAGAAATCAAAACAAATCACAAACGTATAACCATCCATTAATCACTTTAATTAGAAAAGGTAAAACCAAATCTTAAGATCCTGTTCCTCACAGAGATACTTCAGCTCCCAAGAAAACTGGTTTGCCATCCAAAAATCAAAAATCCATCTCCCAAAAACCTTCCATTTAATCCAAGGATCAATTGGCCCAATTACTTGCAGTCAAACAATCCAAATACTTAGGCAATACGTATTAATCTATGTATATTCCATAGAGATTCCACTACCTATGTCAGACACAAAAGCAACTTGAAATTTAAACAAGGCAGTACTGAAAGATCTGATCGCCATAGTAGCAATAGTTAGAGATCTGAAATCACCTATTTAAAAAGAAGTGTTGAAAATAGAAGTAGCTAACATATTAAAAATGATCGCAAAACTAGAGTGATTAGCACTTATGCTTATAATGATACATAGAAACCTATCCAAACACAACCGAATGAAAGAATCAATGTATTTGTATAGCATTACTCTGTAGACCGATCTAAGCAAAGAACAATCAAATGTGCTTCAATCTTAATAGTAGAGATTAACGCATATGGATAATCTGGCCTTAGGCATTCAAATCTATAAACACAATGTTCAGAATAGATTTTTAATTAAGCAATAGTAAAAAAGAAAAAGCAAATAATAGTAATGAAGTTATCATTATCAAACTAATTTTACTTTTTCGGCCTTTGATTATTTCATATATTTCAAAGCTGAAAATAAGAATTTATTATTGTAATTATAATTTTATATTTCTTTTATTCGCTTAAAATATCAAACCTTGATATGGGTAGCTACTGCATTGTCTAATTTTTCAAAGAACTCCTAAGAATCATACAACAAATGCTCTTCATTTATCTCATATTCAAGATATGCACCCTAATCTATTCAACATCAATCATACTTTCTATTAATAATAATTGGCGACCTCTGCATTTATTTAATCAGCTGGAGCAGAACTCTATTCCAAAGCGCATTTGCTTGGAGTTTAGCACTAAATTTAATATTGGACTTCTTACATTATTCTGATATCCAGGGTGAGTGGGTGTGACGAATGGTAAACTTGTGTTGAACACTTTACCGCATGATTGGCAAGATAGATAGGATCCTGCTATCTTCTATGCCAATGATTCAGATAATTTGAATCTAATAGCCAAATTAACACCATCCAATAAACGATCGAGTCTAAGCACTATTCATTCGAATATTTACTTCTCAGCTTCAGCAGCATTATTAGGGAATCCAAACAACAAAGCACCATTTGTTTAAGTCGATTATAATTGAACCTATTCAGCCAATCTAGCAACATTGTCCTAACCATTAAGAAAACACTTACTTCTCCAGTTGTCTTTGAAGCATCTACAATTGAAAATTGAACAAATTGTCTAAACGTATATGTAATTCAAATACTTCTCAACTAAATTTCTTACAAATGGATTCTATTGCAAAAATACAATCTTTGGATATTGAGGCATTTTAGCTGTGTATTTGAATTGGTCATATATAACTGATTCTGTGAAGAATAAATGAAGTTATTGTGCTCTTTGGATTGCCAATCTTGCGTTTCCAAAAAACTATTGATTCATTATTATTATTAATAAAAGTATATAATATCATGTAAACTCTAAATATGAACTATTTTGAATTACAACACAACATCTTGTATTAAAATTCGCCATCAATCATAATACCTCTACAATCATGGCCCTCTTTCAAATTACCATAACAAAGTGTAAATAATTTAACTTATAAAGAAGAGTGAAGTAAGCTCTTCCTGATGAAATTTAATAATATATTAGAACAAAATAGCAATTCATAAATATGATGGTAGTTTCTTAAAATATTATTTCGTATAATTTGGTAATAATGGAATGATGTATGTAAATAAGTATGTATTATAAATATATAAATTTAATAATTATGGTAATGTAAAATTAAACTTAATTGATTAATGTAAATGTGGAGGTTTATGTAAAATTCTTTGCTGAATCATATGAGCATTCCTTTCCACTGAATTGATAATTACCTTAAACTCTGAAAAAATGCATATTTAATTATTGGATTATGTTGGGAAGTCAACTTTAAAATAACCTTAAATTAATATTACGTATGCATTTTTTTTTTCTAATTTTAAAACTCAATATAAATGGTGGATTTTATATAATTAGCTTGAACAAATATATATATATATCAGGTTTTTAATATAATAATCTGCTTGATAACTATTATATTATTTAATAATCAGTCAAATTATGAATTAATAGGCCTAGACTTCTATTTTAAGTCGGTGTTTATGCTCTAAATTAGGAAAATTTAAAATGAGAACACAGATTTTAATTATCAATTGTGTAATTTTCGCTATAATCATACCTTCAATAATATTGGCCTAGACTATTAATTTGTATTATATTTAGGAGATTCTAAGTGATTGTGAGAAGGATAGTATGCTCAAGGGAATGTTTAATCATTTAACCAATTCAGCGAATTCTATAAACGGATAACTTAATTCCGTATTTACAAGAAGTATAATTTCATAAATCATATAAGCATAAATTACCCTGACTAATTTGAATTAATTATATTGGCTTTAATTAAGAAATAAAATTTGGATCAATAAACCAATCACTCGCCCCTGTGACTATAACTCTTCAGTCTTGCCTTCTGATCATTTCATTTCTATTCCATGTTATGCAAATATGGCACTAAAATAAAATGATGTTGAACCCTTAGAAGATCCAATTGAGTAAATTCTAAGAAATCATACTTCTTTAGTAAGTTCAGTTATTTTAGGCTTGATGGGTTTAGATGATCCCTTTTTTCCTAACCAATTTTATTTCTCCTCCTCAATAGACCTATATGAATTTACTTACATTTACCCTTAAATTCTAAAAGTAGATAGTTATCATCCTAAGGAGAGAATGTGGTTTCAATAGCATTTTGAAAATTTAAAAAAGGATAAATACAACAATACTCAGTTAAGTGATGTTTACAAGTATTTTGGAACCGAAACTACGTATTCAATGACAATGACGTAATCAATGCTAAATTTAGTTTGGGATGTTCAAGGAATTTATTGTTCTGACATTGTATTTTCAAACAAAATGTTAAGAGCATAGTCAATCAACATTATGATAGCTGACTAAAAAGGACAATTGTTATTGACAAACTATAAGAATAAAGCAATATCCAATTCTTCCGAACTCAAAAACTTTGCAGACTAAGAAATTACTGGGTTCAATGCCGAAGATTGGAATTCTCTCATTAGCTATTATAACTAAAATATAATCTAGTCTACTTGCAACTTAAGAATGCATAATGTATTATGTAGATATAATACAGTTTATGAAAAAGACGTTGTAATTACGATACAAAAGCTTAAAAACATCAATTATTATTTAATTCTCTTTAATGATTTGTAAATAGAGAAGGATATATCTGATTAAATGGAAAATCTAAATGAAATATTTAATAGAGAAATTTAATGGACTGCTTTAATTGTACTATCAATTTTCATTCTATTAATATTTATCTCCATTATATTGATTTACCTCATATTTTTGCCTATTTATCAAGTGATTGATCAATCCTCCTTGTTTCTTAAAAGAGATTAAGAATGTAATAATGGCAGGTCAATTCAGTTTAAAAATTAAATCTAAAATCAAATCTTAAAAAAAAAAGTAGAACCGTTCAATAGTAATAAATTATATAAGCATATTAGGTAATGTATTAAAATAATTCAAAATTCAATTTGATTCATTATTTGATAGAGTCTTAACATAGACAATGACAATTAATCCTTAATGTAAAATACTTTAACAATTTAAATATCCTAAAAACAATACCGTACATGTTCTGAAAATAAAGAACTTGTTTGATTAAGGTTTGATAAAGGATGATTACTACGGAGATATTAATAATGACTTTCGAAATAAGAAATTGAACCTCAAAAGAACCTTCAGCTTAAATATTTAATCAAATTGAGTTTCATTAAGACTCCATTAAATATTGACTATCTCTTTAAAATATTTTATTGCATTGTATTATTAATTTATTCAATTCAGGGCTTTGTTAATTCCAATATATCAAATTTTTTAATTTCAACTGCTAATAATAGTATCAAAAAACTATTAATTAATTTGATAAATTATGAAAAATCATAGATTTTGAATAACATATTCCAAATTAAAGGTTCTTTTTTGAGATAAATTTAGTCTTTTAGGAAATTCAATAATTCTACATTCTAAAGTTGGAATAGTCAGAGATCTTAAAAATAAACCATGTTCTTAATTCTTCAATTACGAATGGAAATTGCTATTAATAGTTTATAAAGGAAGAGATTTATGATCTTAATTCTAATTAGAATTAAGAGCTTTTTTGATTTTCATAATTATTTAATATACATTTATGACAATCGAAAACCAGTTTTTGTTTATAATACATTAAAAGAAAATAAATATTAGAAATACATAAATAAATTAGTGAATATCTTTTAATAAATAATTATATTTCTTAATAAATGGCACGAAGAGGATAGTAACCACCACCATAACAAGCTCCCCCTGCTTAAAAGAATCAAACAGGAAAATTCAATCCAGCCGAATTTGTTAAACCTGGTTTGACCGAAGAGGAAGTTTTGGAAATCAAAGAAGCATTTGACTTATTTGACACAGACGGGTATTAGTTTATATCATCATTAAGCACCCAATCAATCGATCCAAAGGAATTAAAAGCTGCAATGACTTCTTTGGGATTTGAAGCAAAAAATCAAACCATTTACTAAATGATTAGTGATTTAGATACAGATGGAAGTGGTTAAATTGATTTTGCAGAATTCTTGAAATTGATGACAGCCAGAATTAGTGAAAGAGATTCAAAAGCTGATATCTAAGTATAATATACCTTAAATCATAATAGAAAGTCTTTAATTTGTTTGATTCTGAGAGAGCAGGAGTTATTACCTTAAAGGATTTAAGAAAGGTAGCCAAAGAATTAGGAGAAACCATGGACGATTCAGAATTGTAAGAAATGATTGATAGAGCTGACTCAGATGGAGATGCTTAAGTAACATTTGAAGATTTCTACAATATTATGACAAAAAAGACCTTTGCATGAATTCATTATCACATAAAACATAAAAACATATTCAATATATATTATAAGTAATCAGGTTCCATATAAATTGTTCTTCCTTAGTCCTATGATCGTTAAATGCTTAAGAATTGATCTTAAGTACTCTCTTTTGTTAATATCTAATTGTATATTTTAGGCACTATTGATTAGATTGAATTCTTCCTCCTTAAACAAAATACGTATGATTTATTAATTAAAATTTACTATTCAAAATTTGTTAAATCTAGGCTTTGATAATTAAATTTTTATTTTATAATGATAAGAAAAATTTGAATGAAAAATGTATTTAAATTCTGTCATTTTTGATTAAATATGATATATTAATTATTATATCATTAGGTTTAAAAGTATTTATTCATTAAGGAATTGCTTATCATTTTATCAGGCTCATTAGAAGCTGCCCAATAATTACTAATAACAGGTATAAGACGAATAGGATCCTCAATTTTGTTACTATTTAAGATATGTAAAAACATGTCATAACCAACAAAACTTTGAAAATACTATCTTGATACATCATCAGTTTTACAAACTTACTATAAATCTTGTATTTTAATTTCTGATTATCGAGTCTTAGCTCTTTTTTCTTTGAGAGTTTGGATTCCTTTAGGAACTTTAGCTTCTTTGCGTATTTTCTTGACCAATTTATTCCCCAAGAGTTTAGGAAAATTTTTAAAACAAAACTTTTCATTTTTCGGATTGATTAAGCTGGATATTGTCTAAGCTGTTGATACATAAGGGTCTATTCTCATCTAAAATTCTATATTAATACTTACAATTTCATAATCTTAATAAGATAAGATCCTTGATGATGGATTTTCCTAAAAAATGAATTAGTTTGAAGTATCATCATCTCCAAATTTCTAACTAAAATACATTTCTTAATATAATTAAAATACAATGTTCTTTTGATTAGGTTAAATCATAAAAACAAATTCTATTAGAATTTAAAATTAATAAATCACATTCTTTTTTTTATTTTTTTATTATTTTTCCTTAGTACATGACTACTAATCATGTACTCAGGTTAGTTAGCAGTAGCAAAATAAGTACTAATCCCATTCAAATATTTTAAAGGATTCTCAATTTTGGGACTCTACACCAAATCTATGATAAATTGCCTTTTTATATATTTGATAAAAGCTCTCTAAGATTGCAAGTCAGATTAACACATTTCTCTCAAATCGGATATTTTGGTTGACACCTACTTATCTTTTAAACTTTTTTTATTCAATCTCGAATTCAAAAAAATTTCCAATCCTTTTGTTCTTGGAATCGAACTTTCATTTTATAACAAATATTTTTCGAAATTATTCCCTATCAATTTGGGCAAATTTTTATAATCTACTTTCTTATCATCACTCTCTTTTTCTATTTCAAATAAGCTTGGTTCCTATTAAATACTATCTTAATCATTTTATTTTCTGATCTGTTCCTCTTACAATTCTTGATATTCAATCATTGTTGGTTCATAGCAGTTCTATTCAAATTGAATATTTAAATTCAATAAATCATTCAAGCATTCTTAGAAGATGTTCTGATCAAATATAGACATCCCTAGCTTATATAATAGAATTATTAATTGAATTCTAATATTCTATCATCATAGCATTAAATATAATCTAATAAGAAATTGTTTATTATATTTAGAAAATACTATTAGAATTGATAAAACAAATATAACAACTTCCTTAATGTTAATATTATATTTTAATAATAAAAATATATTAAGACTTTAAATCTATTATTAGAATTATCACATAAAATAGGGTTTAGTTAAAATTAATAACCGGTTGTATTCTTTAATTCTTCTTTAACTCTAAATCATAACTTCTTTTTACTATCAGATAAACCATTATAAAATAATGCGTCTAATAAAAATATATTAAATTAAAATTTAAGGTGAACAAGAATTTTTTCAAAATTTCATAATCTCTATTACCATATTATGCCTTTTGATAAAAGGAAGAATAAATATTGGGTCTTGTAAACAACACGATTTGGTTGAAATAAATTAATTTCAGATAAATTTTTAATACTTATTCATTTCTCAATCATTTATTCAAGTTTTTTTTATCGAATTCTTCTTATCTCTTCCTATTACATGATTTTATACTCAGTTTTTCTTCGTTCAAATTCTTACTGTTCTCTGTTAATATATGCTTTACTTCTTAACTCTTGTCTTGTTGTTATATATTATTATCCTGTAATTTAGTCAGTAAATATAAGTTTCTTATTATTTGAAAATAGATCGAGCAACTCAAAAAATATAAAAGCTGATGCTGCCATCATAAATATAATTAAATATCTTGTATCTGAATTTCTCTTAGAATAATTGTCCTATGGAGCGGTATTAAATAATAATTACAAATTGCTCATCTTTCATATACTTATGATAATCTCTGAAGGGATCTTAGTAATCATACCCTGAACGTGAATAAAAGTGATATTATTTATATGCTTATTGTTTTTGATATTCATCATATGCTTATCTATATTATCCTTGATTTTGGTTGTAATACTTATAAGCTAAAAATCCAATATTTTATTACAACTCTATTAGTAATATTCTCTCTCATATTGCTACTTCTAATACTTTGCAGGGTTTACTTAAATTTCATCATAATCCTTCTTTGTAGTAGGATTTTTAAGCACTTCGTAAGCCTCATTAATTGCCTTAAATTAATCAATTGAATTCGGATTCTTGTCAGGATGATATAATTTAGCAAGAGTGTAGAAAGCACTCTTAATTTCATCTTAAGTTGCTTTGTTTGTGAGATTAAGGGCTTGATAATAGTTCTTATTTGGATTGAATTTCAATGTAGAAAACAAGTATTTATATTTATAATACATTTTTTTTATTTTTGTTAGAATGAAGAATATTACAAAAATATTTCCTTACACATATTCTAAACTAAACAAGGTCTTTTTCCTTTAAAATTTTAATGCATGTCTAGAGATTAATATAAATGGTTTCTGTTTTATAGTGTAAAAATACAGACTATAAATAATATCATTTAAAATTTAAAGAGTTTTTAATTAAAGTCATATGAAATTTAACATTCCTATAATTAATATATTCTTATTTCTATTTAAATAGATTTTTAAAATTACATTATATTATATATTATTAATTATT